ATACCATTACTCAGAACCTGCATTCATGTTATTCAGCCATTTAATCAACCCTCACCTTGACAAAATCCCCATTGGCTTCAGTAGCTTTACCTGAACAAGAACTTGAAGACTTTATTGCTTGGCAAATATTGTTACAACAGGGGATAATTATATATCCCACAAAAAAACCCAAAACCAAAACAACAAAAACAACAACAAAACAACAACAACAAAACCAGAGAAAAACCCCAAAACCCAACAGAAGAAAAAGATCAAACAATCCAACAAAACCAAAAAAGTAAGCCAAAGCCTGTAGCCCTGAGAATGTTCATCCTTGACACAGCTATCTTCACTTGGTCCCTTATTTGTGTGTGTAGTAACCAGCCCAAAACAGATCGAGTGAGGTCAGCCCCTGCTGTTAAACTTCCAGTTCAGTATATCAAGATACAATCTTAGCTCGATAAAAAGCCATGTGGAATTAGTTCAAGATCTTTCCTTGCCATTAGGAAAGAGCAGCAGATGGCATTGAGTCCTTCTCCAAACAGCTGGCTGAGAAATGGTAGAGGGACCACAGGAGGTAAGACAACACCCCATGGCAAGGCAGGGGGCTCCTCTGTGAAGAGCTTTCAGAGAGTTCAGACGAAAGTTCAGCTTTAGTGACTTCTCTCTGCAGGGAGCAGCAGCTCTCCAAACAGGTGGGATAAATAAGCAGATGAGAAAGAGGTGGCTCCAAAGGAAAAAGTCTGTTCCTATTTAAAACAGAGACAAACTGAGATTAATAATAAAATTCAAACTGAAACAATAAGGCAAACAGCTTCAGATTTAGAAAAGGCTACAGAAGGCTTGAATATATCCTCAAAACTCATTGCTGAAGGAAGCAGAAGTGTGTGACTTGATAATTAAACAGGAATTAATCAGTGTCAAATAAAAAAAGAAATCCATGGATAAATTATGTTGCCTCTGCTGTCAAGGTATGAAAATGAGGGCAAAGGATCTGATTTACCCATCACTTCATGCAGTCAAATGCACTTTCCACATCCAGCAGTGTCAGAGGCTGTGCCTCTCTGTTTCTTCCCTGCAGTTTTTCTCTCTAGCCAATTTCTTTGTGCAAGTGCATGGCATCTAAATGGTCTTGACCATGATAAGAGACACTTAAAGAAGCTGGGTAAAAACCTTAACAAGGAAATTACTAGTTAAAAAACCTCTAACAATTTGTTAATTCTGGTATTACAATGTGTGCTTAAATAATACTCCAGGGCTCTTCACTTAAAGAAAAGTGAAGGAAGCTCCTGCTCAGCCCACCAAAAATTTTTGACACCTGTCCCCTTGTTTTTCTTGCAAGACAAGAAGACATCTTGGTTTAACAGACAACATAGATGGACACAGATGGCGCAGAACACACCTATCATCACATGAATGAAGCTCTTCAGGTTAATCCAGAGCAGCCTAAATTACAGAGGAAGGTTAGATTATGGAAATAAACACTCAGTTTAGAGTCCCATTCCTCACCATCTTGGCTTTTGTGACAAGTCCAAGTGATGCAGCACTGGTTTCCCCAACAGCTTTGCTAATGAACTGCAGTGCTTGCACTGCCAGGAAGGACAGAGCAGACATTAAATGCACTATACACAGCTGACAGCAGCCAGAAGCTGGTAACAAGGTGGGCGCAGCCTGGTGTCCCTCTTCTCAGCATAAATCTTGGAGCATTTTTTCACTTCTTCATGCTCCTGAACATAAAGATCCCCTACATGTCACACAATTTAAAATTATTACTTAGAATCTCAGAATGGCTTGGGTTGGAAGGGACACAAAGAGCATCTAGTTCCAGCCCTGCTGCCATGGGCAGGGACACCTTTCACTAGACCACAGTGCTCAGAGCCCCATCCATCCTGGCCTTGAGCACCTTCAGGGGTGGAGCATCCACAGCTTCTCTGGGCAATTTGTTCCAGGTTTCTTATGTAGCAACACTCAGCTTTGCTCCCTTTGAGAGGTGTGCTATCTCATTGTATGTGCAAATAAAGTTAAGCCTGATTAACATGAAACATTGAATCAACTAAAGAAAAAAAATCGAATTTTTGTCAAGCACTGAAGCAGGCTGCCCAGTGAAGTGGTTGAGTCACCATCCCTGAGCCAGGCAAGCAGAAGGCATCTAGCAAGGAGAATGAATTTCTTATTCTAAAAATAATGAAAACAGTATGTTTGGTTTGAGGTTCATATTCAGTATTATCCTACACCTTTCACTGCCCTTATTCAGGAAGGCCACCAGAATTAACTTCAAGTATTAGTGACCTTAAGCTGAGAATTCATTCCACAGCCATAATGAATTGGAAAAAAAAAATTCCAAACACTGAAGATCATGCTTTGGGTTGGAAGGGATTTTTAAAGGTCATCCAGTGCAATCCCTCCTGCAATGAGCAGGGACATCTTGAAGCAGATCAGGTTGCTGAAATCTCTGTCCAACCTGACCTTGAACGTTTCCATGGATGTGGATCTGTCTGTCCCCCAGCATGTATTGGCACCTGGGGTTGCCCCAACCCAGGTACAATGTCTTTCACTTGGTCTTGTTAAATCTTGGGATATTCCCATGGGCATACTTCTCAAGCTTATCCATGTCCCTCTGGATGGCATCACATCACTCAGGTGTGTCAGATGCACCACTCAGCTTGGTGACATCCGCAAATTTGCTGAGGGTGCACTCGATCCCTTTGTCTATGTCATTAAGAAGATATTAAATAACAGTGGTCCCAACATGGACCTCTGAGGGACTCCACCTGTCACCAATGTCCATTGAGCCATTGACCATTACCCTGTGGATGTGACCATCCAACCAATTCCTTAGCCACAGAACAGTTCATCCATCAAATCCATCTCTCTCCAATTCAGAAAAGGTTGTTGTTGGGGATCCTGTCAGAGACTTTACAATAGTCCTGATAAATGACATCAGTAGCCCTTCCCTTGTCCACCGATGTAGTCACTCCATCATAGAAGGCCACTAGGTGGATCAGGTAGGACTTGCCCTTGGCAAAGCTGTGCTGGCTGTTTCAAGTCACCTCCCTGTTCTCCATGTGCCTTAGCAGAGCTTCTAGGACAATCTGCTCCATGATTTTCCCAGGCACAGAGGTGAGGCTGAGTTCCCAGGATCCTCCTTTCTACCCTTTTTCCAGTCACCTGTAATTTCACGTTACTTTTCAAGTATCATGGGGACTGGCTTGGCAACTTCATCAGCCAATTCCATCAGGACCCTGGGATGCATCTCCTGGCATCCCATAGACTCATGCACAATCAGATTCCTCATGTGATTACAAACCTGATCTTGCTAGCAGTGCATGAGCAAACTAGAGCATGAGTGAGAACCAGAGACCATGTTGCTCTCCAGTTCCTGTCTTGTGGTCCACTCACTTGAGAGGTGTGGGAGGAAAAGCTGTCAGTGAAGACTGAGGCAGAAATACTGCCAAGTACATCAGCCTTCTCTTCAGCTGCTGTTACCAGTGTGTCAGCCTTGCTTGTCATGGATGGTACAGTTTCTTTGACCTTCCTTTTCTGGCTGAAATATCTACAGGGGCCCTTCTCGTTCTGCACATCCCTTACAAACGTGGGCTCCAGCTTTACCTCAGCATTCCTCACCTCATCCCTATACAGCCAGACTGTATCCCTGTACTCTTTCCAGGACACCTGCCCTTGCTTCCACTGCCCATGAATTTCCTTCTTGCCATTTGGTTTAACCAGCATGCCCCAGCTCAGCCAAGCCCCTCTCTTGTCTTCTTTGCCCAATTTCTTGCTCCTGGGAATCTCAGTCTCTTCCACTCTGTGGAAGGTTTCCCTAAAATCTACCAGGTCTGTACTTCTTCCTTCTCCCTGAGGGCACTTTCACAGAGGGTCCTATTTACTAATTCCTTGAAGAGCTGAAAGTTGGCTTTCCTGAAGTTTGCTTTCCTAAAGTTGAGTGGCCTAACTCCACTGCTGATTTGATCCATATCTCTCAGGACTGCAAACTCCACCAGCATATAATCACTGCAGCTGAGGCTGCCTCCTATACTGACATCCCAAAATAACCTGCTTGTGTGGGTGACCACCAGATCTAATATCTCATCTCCTCTGGTAGGCCTTGCTATTACACAGGTCAGGAAGTTATCCTGCACACATTCCAGGAGTCTCCTGGATTGCCTACAGCCATCATGCTACTTTTCCAGCAGATTTCAGAGCAGTTCAAGTCTCCCTGGAGGACAATAGCCTGTGAGCACAATACCTCCTGTAGCTGGAGCAAGAAGGCTTCATCAACAGGCTCCCCTTGATCCAGGGCCTGTAGGCACCAATACAAGTTTCTCTTTGCTGACTTGGTCTCTGGTTCTTGTCCCAGGCTCTTGACCTGCTCATTTCTGTTCATAAGAAACAACTCTCCACACTCAATCCAGCTCTTGGTGTACAAGGCAGCTCCACCACCTCTCCTTTCTACCCTATCCCTTCTAAGAAGCCTGTAGCCATCGACAGTTGCACTCCAGTCATGGGATTCATCCCACCAAGTTCAGTACTGGCAGCTAGGTCATAGATTTCCAGCAGCAGAGTGGCTTCCAATTCCTGTCTGTTTCCCATGCTGGCTGCTTTGGTGTAAAGGCACCTCAGCTGAACTGTCAGCTGTGTCATCTTCCTAGAGAAACATTCCCTAATTTCTGTGAGATATTTCACTGGTGTTTCCCTGTAAGGGATGTCAGCTGAGAACAAATTCACCTTGCAGTTGTTTATACTTCAGCAGACTATGCCAAGACCATGCTGTAGACATTTAGCTGGCTGCTGACAGATGTCTCTGGCAAAAAGAATGAGGAGACTCTGCTGTAGAAGAATGACTCTGCCATTTTTCATCAGTCATTCACCAGGTCGCCCAGGCCCTCCAGCAAATCCTGCAGCAGCTCCAAGACCATGAATGTTTTAATCAAAGATTCGAGGCACACACTGAAAATATGAGATAATATCTGAATTCCTGTAGTGGAAAAAACAATGTTTATTTTCCAGTTTTTGGTTGGTTGGTTGGATTTTTTCAATTTCCTTATTAAAATGCAACAATCTCGTGTTTTTGATTAGTGATATGGTTTTGGAGGTATATAGCTCTCTCTGTCTTCATGAAGATCTCTTTCCTAGGTGCTACTGAGTTAGAGACTGTGTATTATGTGGTACTTGTCAGCACTGAATTTCATTTATCATATTATCACCTCTCATAACATGCCAGAGATCCTTCTGGAACTTTGCAGCTTATTTTTCTTTTCACTGTCTTGAATAATTCTGCATCGTCATCACATTATTTCCCCTACATTTTAGGAATACACTCAGCAGCACTGGTTCTTCTGGGTCACTGAAAACCTGACCATTTATGGTCTCCTTCCTGTTAAATTATTAAAACAAAATATAAACTCCTTAATCCAACAAAACTCAATTTCTGTAAGGATCTTTAGTGAGTGATCTATGAAAAGCTTGTGGAAAACCATGTACGATGTAAACTGGAGGACCATTCATGACATGCTTGCAGACATTGCCAAAGAACACACAAAACCTTCTTTGTTTTATCCTCTTTGTTTCTAAACCTCTTGTTTATCACCAGCTCTGCTGTTCCTCTCAGTTTAACCAGCACTGTCAGACTTGCCCCACTGTTCCCTACATGCGTCCAAGACTCCCTTAGAAATACCGCTCACATTTGTACAATTTCCTGTGCTTGGCTATCAAGCCTACTTTTAGATGCAGGCACCACACATTGGCCTGGAGCTGGAAATACCACTGTGGAGTTCTGAGTAATTACCATCTGGTCCTGTTCATCTGTGGCTATTGATTTAATTGACAAGAATATAATTTAACTTTTCAGGTTTAACTCTGCTGTCCTTCGGCACAAATCTGGCAGGCTTCTTGCTCCTGATAGGTATAATGGCTGTAATATTTTCATTCCTGTTTATCACAGCCTTTTAAAGTTTTGATAAATTTACCTCATTTTTATGATATAATTGGTACTATTAACAGCAGACAAACTTTAAAATTTGTTTTAAAATTGAAACACTGTAATCTATAATCCAATAATAGGAATATAGCTTTACTCTGCTTGTACATGGAAGAGAATGCTAATGCTGAGTTCAGTAACACAGTCAGGAAAAAACTCTTCCCAGCTTTCCTGATAGTTTAATAGCACTAAATGGGAAAAAGTTCCATACAATTAGGTTTCACATTACCAGACCTAATGCCCCCAAACCTACACAATTCACATTAAAATCCAGACATTCTAGAAATATTTGAAGTTTGCTTTACTTCATCACATTTAGGAGCCTGTTGCATTTTGTCTTCCACCAGCGGTGTAGATGGCAAAATTCCCATGAGTATTTAGAGAAACAGAAAAGCCAACCAAATAATTCAGAGCTTTGTGGAATTGGATGTTGAATTGATAACTGAAAAATGCCCTTTCACATATAGAACTGAGGTGCTGTATTGCCCTCAGCCTACCCATTCACAGAAGTCTGGAGAAATTGTAATTCCATGGGGCTACCCCTCCAGACAACAGCCATTTTCAATGTTAAGAAAGAAATACTTGGAGATTGAGTGTGGAAAAACAAGTATTTATAGAAAGTATATAACAAAATTATGTCAACAAAAGCTACATCTCAGAGCATCAGTGTTGATTCCTCCACGAGTTATAAACAAGAAATTGAGCCATGCTGCATGATTCATAAATAAACGGTAATAGTGTCTCTACAGTTTCCACCCTTGCTACAAGAGATGCATTACAGAGTAAGACAATTCCTTTGATTTCATTTAATGAATAAACTGTTTATGTCCAGCATCAGTCCCATTCCAAAGCTTAGGACAGAGCTCTGACAGCAGCACCAGTCTGAGTTGCATTCACTCCTGGTGACAAACACAATAAAGATGACAGCAGGAACGTGCCTGCTAAAAGGACCTCATTTTAAAAAAAGCCATGGCAGTCATTCTAACAGCAGCCTATTTTCATTTCCAATAACAGCTACTCACCTGCCTCAGGACCACTCATTTGCACTACTTGTAAAGTCTGGCAGGTCTGTGGAATGCAAAGTTTACAATATCAACTTAATACAGTTAATATCTTAATACTAGTTCCCAAGTATAAATTAAAAAGTATCTTTTAATTATCACATTTCAGAGGAAAGAAGCTGGTGAGCATTTTAACGTGCAGACAAGTGTTTCCTATCCTTGGTGTCACTCCTAGAGACATGCAGCAGCCCACACATGGAGCAGGTGCTGTGACAGAAAAGGTTCATTTTTTTAACTTTGCCACTCTTCAAGAGAGCATTACCGAAATTCAAAAGCTTTTCACCCCAAAATGAAAATTCCTATAAATTGAATTAAAAATCCAAATTTCCTCTGCCTCCCCCATTTCTTTCACCAGCCTTCACCCATTCATTAATTAGCCAGGGGTTGTTTTCTAGCTTTATGACTTTCAAAGTAGCTTTAAAATTTTTCTGTCTTCCAATGGGATTGAATTTATTTTGGCAGTATCTTTGCAAAGAAGGAGAAGGGAGGGCAGAAGAGCAGCAAAGGAATAAATTCTCCAATCCTTGAAATGTGTAAGGAATACACATCTGGTTCATCTTCAACACATATGACATCCATCTGTTTTAAAATAATCAGCTGGAAGATCTTTTGATAAAAGCAGGATTTTCATTATTTTAATTTGTTTTTCATCCTCTTTCAGTCCATACAATATTTCCTATGGTTATGTCCTGCAGTGAAGATGATGAGAAAGTTCTTTTTTCCTCAGGACTGACACTTCCCCACACTGTCTGTGACTCAGGGCAGGGAGGGTACCCAGAGCTTCCCCAGCCAGACGCTAAGCAGGGCAAGGAAGACCTGACCTTTTCCTAGTAGTGGGAGCTTCATGAGCTTTTCCCTGTGCTTGGGCTGCTGCCAAGTTGCCACACTCATTATTTATGCCCTAGTTTGCCCACAGTAAGTTGCTGGCTTGGTTCAGCTCCGCTGACGTAAGGCAAACACAGGGAACGGCGTCGTCTGCAAAAACAGAACAAGAGTCTGGAGGAGCCGAGAAAGGTTTGTATGCTTGGGGCTTCAAAGTCTAAGAGGGTTTTTGATTTTGTGCCGCACATGTGGAAGACTTAAGTGTAACATGGTAAGTGTAAGTTCTTCGAGTGCTGCCTGGTAACGTTACTCTAAATAACCTGGAACCCGACTGGCTGGAGAGGAAAGTTATTCTTTTCAGGTGCACGCCTGTATAAAATACCTCTGGAGTGTGCATCTACTCACAGGAAACCTCCCACGCCTTCTGTCACATCAGGTACCCACACAGCTGCCCAGCTAACCTCCTCTGACGTGCCTTTGTGTTCCCTGCTAGCTAACAACAGGAACACATTTGTCTGAATTCTTGTATTTCAGGTCAGCTTTGTGAGCCAACAGAATCCAGCTCTGTTCCGTGCGGAGTGACGGTCACTGCGGTATTTGGGTGCGTTTACCTTGTAGCTTCAAATATGACATAGATCTACTACAGCGATATTCCTAAGGCTGACATTTCCTTTATTTCTTACCATTGTTATTGTTGGTGTTTATTTTCTTTTAAATTTAGTGCATGGTAACATGAGAAAATTGCATGAGCTCCAAGAAACAGATGTTAATGTATGGTACAAGTATGGTTAAACCTGATCTTGAAAAGAACAGACTGCACTTGCAAAGAACAGACTGCACATGTGAGCAAATGAAATTGGCTTTTGCACAAATATTTCAACTAACACAGACTACACTGAGCAACTCTGTGCTGAGATGAAACACATTTCAGCAGAGGTGTGTTTACAGCTGAAGACTCAGTGACACAGCACTGCTCAATAACCTATTTTTTGGCCACGTTTTGGATATTAAAAGCTCTTTCTAAGGAATTGATTTCAGCAGTTTAAGAGGCACGAAGTTCATTCTTATAGGGAATAAACTTTTACCTTAAGGTTTATCATCATCTTACAATTTGCCCCTAAGTGTTACCTTGTTAATTTTATGTAATATTGTCAAATAGAGTTTTGTGAATTATTCATTCTTCCTTAGGTTCTGAAGAAATCTAATGTGATTTAATTTTGTTTTGTTCACAACAGCTTAAGACTATTAATGAAGTCAATATTGGTTTAAAAACTCTGAAAGAACTTAGATAATTCTTTCCCAAAAAGACTAATTTGGAAAAAACCCTGGCTGCTAACATTCAGAAAGTGCCAACATTTTCTAAGGGAACAGATTTTGCTTGCAACATTATCAAACCAAAATTCTTTTAGAGATATATAATTTTTAGTAAAGTATGGATCAGAAAAATGTCAAAACAGTGAGAAATGTTACTTTTTGTAATTCTATGAGCATAGCAGCAACTTGAACTAATACACATAGAGAATGCAATAATGCAAACACCACCTATTTGCAAACAGCCTCTCAATATTCACTTGTGCCTGTAGCCTTCAGGAAGAGTTTGTCATTTAAAATGACAAATAAAGCTGGGCATCATTAAGGCCAAAATACTAATATACTTGAATTCTTGAATTTATAAGACTAAAATGGTCCCATAGTTTGCAGCTAAAAAAAGACTACTTTTAACTCCTATGAAATAAGTCATTGAATAATTATAGCAATAGAATGAACATGCGGATATATACATATATACATAGTCATATTTCTCTGTATAGCAAAAGCTACACCACTACAAGGTATTAGTATAACATCCAGAAGCTCCAGCCAAAAACCAGAGCCCAGTGTGTCAGGTGACAAACAAACAGTGAGTGCAGAGTGTTTATCCCCCCAAATCACCACCTAGGAGCTCAGGCAACTTATGGACTTAAGGACCACACCAGCAGCAGGGTAGCCACTGTGTGGATTTTAGGCCTCCTGATCATTTTAATGAATTTAGTAAAACCAGCAGACTCCCATTTTAGAAGAACTCAAAGGACAAGTGAGGGAAAGCATAACAATTTTTATTTTGAAAATGTAACATAACATGTCTAATAGAGTTAGAGCTCAGTCTGAATGAGTGATAAATAGGATATAGATATATATCAGGATCAGAAATACAAATTTATTTGCTGCAGGTACTTAATAGCTGATCAACAAATTTGTATTTATCAAATATGTTTCCAAACTGTTTTCTGGAATTCACTGCCACCCACAGCCAACTGAAATTTTGACCTGTAAGAGCTTCCTCAAGCAAGGAAAAAAATACAGGGGGATCACTTTCCACCCAAATGGAAAAATTAACAGTTTATTCATTAAACAAGCCTTGTGGTTTTATACATAGTAGAGTACTGGACAAGGTAAAGTTTTCTCCTGCTTTTTAGTTTCAGGATTGGTTTTTATCTGAAATAGCACCAATCATGCTACAAGAGCAATACAAAAAAAAAAAACCCATCAAAACAAACACTCACCCCAAAACTCCCAAATATGAGAATGTAGTGCTCTGCAGGTTTCAACATAAAATGTTCAGAAGACTGTGTCTTCAAACTAATGTTTTCTGGCTGTAGCCATTTCCAGTTCTGACAGATTCTTCTCTTCTCCTTATGTACTTTCCCAATTGCACAAGTCTGAAAATATTTTTCATAGACATTTCCTAAAACATTAAAACATGAGCAGATTTTATTCTAGCTTAAGACATGAAAAGGAGACATTGCTCAAATCTAGAAAACCATTGCTGTTGGAAGGAGGCACACTGTGACATGTGGAATGTGAACATGGATGCACTCACTCATGTCAGGGAATGCAGTGACTGCACCATTAACTTCAGTCTCTTACCTACATTCATTGTACCTTAAATCACACACCATGGGGGAAAGACAGATCTTGTTACTGGCCAGATGGAGGTCCCTCCGAAGAAAAAAAACAAACAACAAACCAAACCATACAGAAATCGATTTAAAGCACTTCAAAACACTCTTTTCTGTTGCATTACAAAATCATGGCCAAGACAGAGCAAATACAGTGTTAGAGGTATTAGAACAGAAATCCTGTCCTTGTGAATAAAAAGAGCAGCAATAAGGTATATATCAGGTATCAGTAGAATTGCAATGGTGTCAATATCATGTGCAAATTAAATCACTCACATAAGTCAGCAGTCACACTGCTCCTTAAAAAATACCTGCAGGCATTGCTAAACATCTTGGCCACTGCTGGAGATTTACCCCTTCCAGTGAGGGTATGTAAAACAGCCTCCTGTAGTATGATGCAACTCAAATGATACAACACTTTGTCTGCAGTGCCTGTGGCTGGAGAGAGCATATATGCAGTCTCAAAACTGAACAGAGTGGATAAATGTTTTAATCATGGATAAAAACACAGCTCACTCCAGCCATCATGTTGTGTGGGAGAGGTGAACATGTACAGCCTCTGGCCAGAGTTAAACTTTTTGCCCTTTACATATAGATGTGTTTGTGTATATATCTATATCTATATCTATCATATATCTACATCTATCTATATATCTATCATCTACATTTATATTTTCACACATTTACAGATGTATGCATATACATACGTGCTTCACTGAAGAAAATGCTAGTCAAGCAAGGAAATTCACTGACCTATGTATCTTCAAACAAATCTATATTAATTTCTATTACTGCTTTTATTGGTGCCAGCTGGTAACAATCAGTTCCTTCTAAGATTGGGTGCTGCCCTGTACCCTGGGGATGCACACAGAGAGTTATCCAAAAAGCCTTATGGATTCAATCTTCTCACTGCAATGATTTTCTGACTGTCCCCTGCATAATCTGCATTTGACTGCATTTCAGTAATTGGGTTAGCTGTTCAGCAGGAAAAGACAGGGAAGAGACGGCAACTCTATGCAAGGAGACAAAATCAAGATCACTGAATGCAGCAAATTAAATAGTTTTATCTCTGGAATCATAAGTCCCAAGTTTTTTGAAAATAGTAAATTAGACAAGAAGTCACAGATATTAAAAGACAGTTATCTTCCTCAGCTATTGCTTCAACTTATAAGAGTAGCTGACCAGAGTATCAATTCAGTGACATAATTCTAAGCTTCTACATAAATGTTTATAAGATAAACACAATGATAAAAATATAAAAATGATAAATGAGAGAAAATAAAAATTCTGACAGCATTACTACATTCCCAGAAACAATTCATACAGGCAGCAGAGTGGAGATGTCCGCACTCATCTTGTTCCTTCACAGTTTCATCACTGAAAAAAACTCCAAAAGGCCACCAAAGGCCACCTAAACTACTCACTGTCTTTTTCCAGTCATATTTCATATGAAGAGAGTGCCTGCAATATTTTATAACATTGTTTTTCCCCTTCTGTTTCAGCTCTTTTGCCATGATCTCTGCACAACAGCCACCATTCCCCAATAAAATTCAAAGAACAATGGACTGCCAGTCCGAGGAAGAAACCTGTGAAGAGCAGTATGACCCTGAAAACTGCAGTTGCAGCTCTGAGCATGCAGAATCTGACACAGGTTTAGTCCAATTTAAATACTGCAATTGCTATGGCATGCTAGCATATCATACTTTGATTTTTGTCAGTCTTCAAATAGTAGATGTCATCATGCAACTTTTGCTTTGATATCCCATTTCCCCCATTATTTCCTTATGTTTGAATATATTATCAGATCAAATCTACAAGAAATACCCCTCTATCTCCATAATTAAGAAATATATTTAAAAAGGTCTCCGGATTTTATTTAGACATCTAAGGATTATTTCTCAATTACAATCTCTCACAAAAGAGATATGGCTATAATATAACCATTGATTGGGCTGGCACTGTTGAAGCTGTGTTATTAGATTTCAACCGGTTAAACTGCTCCAAAAGCTACTAAGGATTCCAGGCAGGCATCAGTTAAAATCCCTGTAGGCCAGAGCAAATTTCTCCCTTGCAGCTGATTCTACATATATACTTGCAACAGAAGTTCAGTCATTCAGAATAGTGTCCTTGTTTTCAGTGAGATCGGACGGAACAGCCTCAGCACAGATCTGAAGAACTTCAGACATGAGCCTCCTTGCTATGATGAGACACCCTTATGACAACTGTAGCACTGATTTGCTGAACTACATTGTGTATGCTAACATAAAAAGCATCTTACAACCCTCCTTCTGTGGAAGGATGCTTTAAAAACAACCTTAAAAAACAACTAAGAAAGAGTCAGTTTTTTTTCAATGTAGGATTTAAATCCTAAATCCTTATGCAAAAAGCAGCTTGCTGTTATAGAGCTGCTGACCTTACAAATCTACAGCACAAACACAACACAAGCTAACTTGGTCCTCAAAGTCTTCTAGAAGTTATTAGCAGAGTTTTATATTTGAATTGGTAGCTTTTCCTAAAAGGCTCATTTCTATCTCTAAACTGCTCATGTGAATACCTAGAATGGCAGGAAATGACCATTGTTCCTTTCATTCCCCACCATCCACACTGTCTGGTTTTTGGACAACACTGGTCTTCACTGATGGGGTGGTCAGGCAAGTGGTAGAAGTGCTCAGGGACGTGGTAGAATCACCACCCAGAGAAGTCCTCAAAATATGTGTAGATGTGGCATTTGGAGTTGTTTTAGCCATGAACATAGTACTGGGTTGATTAATGGCTGGATTTAATGATCTTCCCCAACCTTAATGATTCTATGATTCAATACCAATGTCCTCAGGGCTTTCCTAGTCCATGTGCCCACATACTGTTTTTGTAAAATACTTTTTGCCCTTTAACACGTTGCACATACACCCATGAAATTTCAACTTTTCTCTCACAGGCTCACCAGTAACTCTTAAAATCCTGCAGAACTGGGTTCCTAGAGTCTCACACTACTTTGATAAAGAACACTATACATATGCTGGTCACCAGATCGTCATTCAGGAATCCATAGAACACTTTGGAGCCGTGGTATGGCCAGGGGTAAGTACACAAGACCACATGAGGAAAGCTCACGTGACACAAGAGCAAACTAGGACAGCAGCACACAAATATTAAGGAAGCTTTCTTAGATGACACTTCTGACAATGGAAGTTTCCCTAGGCAGAATGAAGTCCTTCAGCAGAAAGCTCTGCCTTAGGGTAATTTGCCAGTTCATGCCAAAAGGACTATGGCACCAAACCATTTGTACATTGGATGCAGGGACTGAAAAAAAAAAATCAGTAAGGGAACTCAGGAAGAAACAGCTTCCTCCAGGCTTCCAATCAGTCACTGCTGGGAAGTAAATAATCAGCAACACTAAAAGGAGGCTGAAAAACAAAACTGCAAGAGATTAAATAAGTAAAGTATGTTAAAATGACTAAATATCCTTCCTTTAAAGAAAAGGCTGGAACAATTTCATTACAGTATGGAAAATCATACTTGTAAGCACTTCTCCAGTCTCTGCTTCTCCTACTCTTAAAAACAGAATTTTACACATACTAAGAAAACTGCCTTTGTGTGAAGAGTCAACTGATAAAGACAAGAAAATCAGGATTTTAAAATTTTTCAGATCCACATTTATTTAAAAAGCTCACAAGAAAATGGCAGACAATTTTAAAACAATAGAGAGCATATGGGTGGGTGAAACAGGATCTTATTCTGAAATGTCAGATCATCAATTTGCACATTAATCAAGTGTCAGAATGCAGATGGTAAAACTCTCCAAGAAAATTGAGAGGTTGCACAAATTGGACCAGTGATTCATTAGCTGTCAGCTTTCCCAGAGCAGGTAGACCGTGTTGCATAATGAAAAGCACAAGAGTTAAAACAGTAACACAATCCTAAAGAAGAGAAGCAAAAAGGGGAAGACAGTTTCTTTGGCATCAGTTTATGTTGTTAATAAACAGCCCACTTATATTCTACTGACAAAATCTTTACAAAGGCCTGATAATATTTTCATACAGTGCTGTTTTGTTTTTTTCAAAGCTTATACTATTATCAATAAACAAGTGTCAAGTTTGTAAATAACCAATTTTCAGTATTTTCTTTGCTAAAAAAATTGAGACAGAAAAAATTTCAAAAATCTCTGCTGAAGCCTAAATTTACTTTATGATAGCGGTAGTACAGCATAACATTGATGATAATAAACCAGAACATTACTCCTACATATTGTTAAAACTCCGTTGTTATGCCTGTATGGTTCAAATCCTAACACTGACTATCCTTGTGGGTCCCTTTCAACTCACCTTATTCTGTGATTCTGTCTTGAGCTGTCAGAGGACTCATGTAGAAGTGTGTAGGAAATCAGTATCACATAAAACTAAAAATAAACTGCTTTAGGTTTTTTCATATAAAAAAACAGGATACATCACAATTCTTCCCATCTTACATTTTTTTTTGTTATACCCTTCAGTGTTTCTCATTATACTAAAAAAACACAACACCCTTGTATAAAAACATCTAATGAATTTTTGTGCAACTTAGCTGTTACCCTCTTACGGATATGTGTTAACCATTTCAGGCACTGGCTTTATCTCAGTATCTGGAATCAAATCAAGAACAATTCAACCTCAAAGACAAAAAAGTTTTGGAAATTGGTGCTGGAACAGGCTTGCTTTCTATTGTGGCCTGTATCTTAGGTTGGTAATTTTTTATTTCCTTTTGAATTTCTAGTAAACGATGATCTAGCTCTGCCATTGTCACTTTAAGGCAATGAAACAACAGCTGAAGTAAACTTTGTCACTGTTCAGGTTTTTTTGTTGCTGCTTTTTTTTTTTTTTAATGAAAAACATTGTAAAATACTGTTTTGTTAACTAAATGACCTTAGTTATGGGGGAGAGGGAGGCTGGACCAGTTACACAGATAAAGCTTTATACATGTACAACTAGATACCTATGAATTTTGCCCTGTCTCAAGTGAGAGAGGAAACAGCCCCAAGTTTTACAGGGGAGCTCAGATTTGGTATTAGGATTTTTTCTTTTATTTTACGGAAAGGGTGTTTCGGTAGTCTTGGAATAAGTTGGCCAGGGAAGTGGTGGAGTCACTGTCTCTGGAAGCATTCAAGAGGTGTCTGGATGTGGGACTTGGGGATATGGTTTAGGGGTGATTATGGTAGTGCTGCGTTCATGGGTGGACAGATGATCTTGAAGGTCTCTTCAAACCTTAGTGATTCTGTGACTTGAAACAAACTCATGTTTTCTTTAGGAGCTCATGTTACAGCCACTGATTTGCCTGAAGTTCTTGAAAATCTCTCATATAATATTTCGAGAAATACACAGAACTTGAATATGCACAAGCCTGAAGTGAGAAAACTGGTATGGGGAGAAGGCCTCAATGAAGACTTTCCTCTATCAACATACCATTACGATTTCATACTGGCAACTGATGTTGTGTACCATCATGGAGCTCTGGACCCCCTGCTAGCAACAATGGTGTACTTTTGTAAGCCAGGAACAGTATTGCTATGGGCAAATAAATTCAGATTCAGTACAGACTACGAATTTTTGGAAAAAGTTTGCAATATATTTAACACAACCATTCTAGCAGAATTTCCAGAATCTAATGTCAAACTGCTTAAAGCCACAGTAAGAAAGAATTAAAGAGAAAACTATTACTGATCTTGATTTAGTGGCAGCACCTCACAGATTGGAATACTTTCCAAGATTATGTTACACCTTCTGAGCATTTATGGTTGTAAAGTGGCATCTAAGTTTTGCATTGCAAGTATAAAAAAAACCAGCAAGGCAAAAGATATAGCAGTTTATCTCTGGTTGATAAATATGACCTGTTCAAACTGACCAATTCCCCCTCCACTGAAGGAACAATGTCAGTAAGAAGGCTTTATCAAAAAGCATTGATCTTCTGGGCTGCACTGAACCTCTGCTGTTTCTAAGCTGCTTTCTTTCAGCAAGTTTTATTTAGGTACTCATCCAGAAACCAATGCAATTTTTAGCTTCAGTATTTTTATTAATTATAAAAATCTTTTAAAGTATCAGAGTGAACATGGTGGTATTTTGATCTCCAACTTTGCACATGTATTCTGCTGTGTTATTAATAAACATCTATGTATAGCTTTACAATATCTGATCAATATGTAACTGTCTGGCACTTTTATACATGGATCAGCCTGTCCTGATACACAGCTTCACCAGGATTTCTGAGTTTGCCTGAAATCACTCCAAAATGAAGAGTTTTGAAAATTTACAGGAGTACCTATGCATCAGCAATTCCAAAAAACAATGTAACCATTTGAGAGGTTGAATTTTTCTTAAAAACATTAAATGTAAACTCTTGCAAACAATACAGGTGTCCATTACTTTCATCTAATAAGTAAGATTTTAGCTACTCTTGAAGTAGCTTTAAGGCCTTCATACAATTGAAATTAAGATCAAACATGTTAAAATTCAGTGTACCATAAAAAATACAGAACTTTTACAGGTTTGCAGTTTAAAGTAACAATTCAGAACATAACATGCATGCAGTAATTCTTTCCAAACTAATTCCAAATCCTTGATGTTGGCAGTTCTGGCACATCCATTGCCAGCAATGGGATGCACAATAAGGAAACTCCCTGATGACAGGAGTTAGGTTAACAGGTATTAAGCCATACCCAGGTGCCTTTACTGATAAATACACACAATTTAATAATCAGCATTCAGTAACGAAAACATGCGCTCGAACAAAAAGTCAAACTTCTCTTTTCCTATCCTGTCCCATATAAAATCATTTTAATTTTAATTGCTGATTCTCTAGAATACACAGTAATCAGGTGGATACATGACAGGAAGCCAGTTTGCAGTGAAAGTTGCACAATGAGTCCATCCAAGCAACTTCATTAGCTGAAGAAAAAAAAGCACACATTAAGAAAGTTAGTCTTACTCTTTTTAACATCTAAATCTAAACAAACACTGTACTGATATCAACACTTTACTAAAAATGTCTATAGTCAGAAAGACAACAGATTGGAAAATCTGGTAAGCTTTGAATTCCTCAGTCCTGAAAATGGGACCCCATTCTATATGATCCACATTCTTTCAATGTAATGCACAAGAATTTAATCTTAAATCACTGTTTCAAATGAAGGCTGAGTCACAAAACCTGGACAAATTTAAAATATTACATTTAGTGCTTTCTAAAATGTGAAGAGTACCAAAAATTCCAGAAGATATATCTTACTTCTGAAAGCTTACACAGCACGAACACAGTCACATTATTTGATCAAACACTCCTTACCTGAATGCAGTTTTTTAAGTTGTCCTTTGTTGGCTTTTCTTCTGCAAGTTTTGTGGCAAACTTGAGCCCTCTTCCATACATTTTATTTACCAATGCATGCTTATAGGCAAAAGTCAAAACCTACAATACAAATTTAAAAAACCAAAGCAAATTAGGTATTTTAATATCTTACAAGGTTGAACAAGTAAGATCAAATTCTGTTCAGGTAGCAGAAGTGATTCAATGTAAAACATTTACATAAGATATTTGCAATATAACAGATGATTCACAGTAATTGTCATAAACATGAACTTCCTAGAGACTATTTCTGACTTCACAAACATATTTGACTTCAGAACTTACATAACACAGATGTCACTATTTTAATTTTTAGTCACATTTCTAGCTCCTTTGGATTTACATTCTCTATTAGGTAACTGTAAGGCATATTAGAAAGATAATTAAAGAATCACCAACCAGGCAGGTGTATTTTTGACCCAGAGAAGCAAAAACCAAATTGAGAACTTTAATTCCTAGGTAGTCACAAACTTAACTGCAGAAACAAGTATAAATGTACACAGTGAATGATATATATACAGACAAAGACAGAGAAATGCACATAATTATAAACAAGCAATGAAGACAGGCAAGCATGAAGACAAGCCTCATGTTTTAGGTCAGCTTCTCACTATTGGTAACTTTTAAGAAGAGATGATAAAAAAACTCCCTCTTCACAATACTATTTCTAAAAGCCCGGCTTACAGTCCTTACCAGTGCAGCAGTTCATGTGAGCAAATGAATATGTCTACCTAAGACCTAGCGTGTAATAAATTTGGTTCTTAACACCCGACCACTGATGGCATTCAGGGTGTGGCAAGATGATTTAAACCATTTCACCAGCTGCAGCACTAAGGAATAGAGCAATCAGGACACTTTACTGTATTCCCTTTGGAACACTCACAGTAAAAACAAGGTAATTTTTATTTTTCACTGAAGAGTGACATAGCAGTAAAATTGGTGAATATGGTGGTGTGTCTGTTGTTGGCAGTGTTTATGAAGTCTTTTATTAGAGCTTGCTATTCATTTCCCCTCATTCACTACAACATTTTTCCTTTGCTCTGACTCTACACTAAAGGTTGAAGATTTCCCACTTAAAATATCCCATTAAGAAAAGCTAACAGAAACCCTTCAAGGATGTTCAGAAACACACTTTCCATTGCAGAAAAAAAAAAAAAGAATCAGTATTTCTCAAGCATATAAACATCAGGGAATCAGAGATCTGAATTGTGAAAGGGGTGAAGAACCTGTCTAGTTTTAGCAGCCTGAACTCTTCCACTTAATGTTAATCAATGCAAAAGTCTTTGCAGGATCAATAAATACTTAAAATATAAAAAAGAAATAAATTTAAGTCAAGGTGTAATTGTAAAGCTTCAAGATACTATGCCAAAGTATTCAAGAGTTGCTTCTTATTCTTCTTCTATCTCCAAATACTTATTTTGCTGTTTTGAAATATTCATGTAGCTGTTGTAGCTTACAACACACACATATATGCAACAATGAGCATACAGCACCATTCACATATACAATTTTCCAAATATTGCTATTGGAAAAATACTCTGCATGCTGCATTCTCAATCCAATTATTTTGGATATTTTCCTAAAGCAAAACACATTAGCAAACACTTCTGAATAACTGCTCAGTGGATCTATTAGCAGACTTAGTTGGCTAAACTAAACTTAAAATTCCCTTTTGTAAAAGATGATAGAACCACAAAACAAAACAAAAAAAAAAAAAAAAAAAAAGAAACAAGGAAAAATACCAAATTGAACATGCACTGGAGCTCTCAGCAAATATAACATTTCTGAGGCTAATCAGAAATAATGTCACTGCTCTATGAAGAAAGCTCTTACCTGACCCTGTAAGTTTTGAATGGTTATTGAACATCAGTGATAAAGGCAGGAGGAAAGCCACTTGACAGCATTTCTTTCGTAACAGGGCTTCCTAGAGGTTTTGTGGCAAGAAAACAAAGCATTTTACGAAATACCCTTGCTCCGGCCAAATAAAAAGTTGGGTATTTCTAAATGAGAAAGAGGTTCTTTGCTGAACCAAAAGGTTGAAAACAATGCTCCAAGAGCTCTTGACACAAGACAGTAATTTCTGTCTTCGTGTTTGGAAAAAACCCCAAATCAACTGTTTACAAGTTCAGCAGAACTACTAAAAATTCATTTGCACTTTAGAAGTTATAAACAACGCAAGAGTTGCTTTAAAACCAGAATTTGTTTAGAAACAAAAGATGTTAGATAAGAAATATGTACACATATTGGCCAAATAAAGCCTTATAGATAAAATACTGCAAGCTTTATAAAGAAGTAAAGGTTATGATTCCTTGATATGTAAGGAAAATGTGAACTGGAGTGCTATTAAGATATAACAGAGAAAACAGCTGCTACCTGAATGCATAAAACCATCCAAGAAACCTATTTGTAGTATCCAAAACCAAATTGTTAGATGAAAGAATAGCAATGGCTTCAAAGTATTTGATATTATTTCATAACTATATAATGAAATAATAAATTATATAATAAATATAATGAAGGCCAGCTTTTGCATAACAAGAAATATGGGCCAGAAATTGTACAAAGAGCAATAAAAGGGTATTGAGAAAAGGCAAAGCATACTTCTAGGATACTGGGGGGGAAAAAAATCACTGTTAAATTTTATTCCCCAGGCTAATGGCCTGGAATACACGTGCTAGGAACCACACCCATGAAAGTATTTGGATGATCACCTAACTAGCCATTGGCTATAAAGATGCATATATAGGACAGTAAAATGCTGAAATGATCTCTGTGAAGACATTTGTGGGATTAAAGTATTTAAAAGCTAGAAAACATTCTTTAAAAAAATATGTTTGAATCCAGCAATACTAAAATGCCTAGTGAAACTTTCCTAGTATCCCAATGTTGTTACCTATGGAAAGAGACTTGTATAATCAATTAATTAATCATTTAAAAAGCTGATTAAAATATACCTACATTTACCTCTAGTTAAAATAATAGGTTAAATAATACAATCTCTAGGTAACATACTCCAGCTATTTTTAATAACACTGAAGTGGTAATGTTTATAATTCCCAACAAACGAGCTTTATCAGGTTCATATACATCTGTAGTAATGAACTCTGCTTTCTTAGCTACATTTGTTGATTTTTCTCTGCTCTATTAACTGCCCTGTTACAAATAAAAACTACATTAAAAAAAATTACTCATTTTCATGGAAGCAAGGAAAAGTAAAGGAATCAAATACCCAGCAACACATTTTTAGCAGTGACTGAATAAAGCTGCAAGAGACCTGCATCTGACAATACACACCGTATCAGGAAAAACAATCCAAGCTAAAGATGTTTAAGAGATAAGATGGAAAGGTATGGGCCTTTTACTTTTTTTTAAATTTATTTTTAAGTGTGACTTTTTGCTTTTCCCCCATGGCTAATAAAGGTTGAGGGGCATTACATTCTACAGATTAGCCATTCCCAATAGCAAACACACAACATCCTACTACTCTCCTGTTGCGGTTGTGTTTAAACTGAGGATTTTGGCCTACAAAATTTAAAGCCATGTTTAGGAAAAAAACTAAAGTGCTATTCTAACCATGTTTGCATAATCTATCAAATACTTGCTGCATAAAGCTGTCTTAACTGGAGCTTATGTCAAATGCTTTTGTGTACACAAGGGACATAAATATTTTCTTTCATGTTTAGTTTAAAACGAACCTTCAGGCACTAGCTGAAAGTATGAACAAATGCATTTACTATCAAAATTGAAGTTACTTCCCTACATATGTGGTACAATATAGTGACAAGCAAGTTACTTCAATGACAAACAGACAATTCAAAGGAACTACAAAATGCCCTGTGGTGCCCAGGTGCTACATCTGCAGAGGAGAGGTGAAACAAGGGACAGCACTTATTTACTAGAAGGTGAGAAGAAACGCACAGAAAAGTGATGATGCTCCTGACATGGCATCTCTTGGTTTCCAAAAATTTACTTAGCCTTTTAATTACTGAGAGCTGCATGAACTCTACAGGAAGCTTAGAACTAAACACACTTAGAGTGTGTTAAGTATGTAGTATGTTTCTCTTCTTTCTCCTACTTTTTTGAGTTTTATTACTCAAATTGAAATCTAAACTGATTTCTGTCTTAAGTCATATATATATAAGTGAATGATCAGTGTAGTACCTAAATGCCTGATTTCCATCCTTTCTCACCCAGATGTTCCATATTTCAAGTGCCAAAATTACACAGCCATGTCTAGATAAAAGAAGAGCTCTACATTTTCATCTCCAACACACTGCTTCAGAATAAGCTGGCTGTCTCTTGACAACTCTCCTTTGAAGGACTTTCACACAAGGTCCATCCTCTGACTTGACTGCTCCACTTTCAATCTGTGCTGCTTTAGGATGGGCTAATTTATTTTCTTCACAGCAGCTAGTATGGGGCTTTGTTTTTGATTTGTACTGCAAAAAGGGTTGATAATTCAGAAATGTTTTAGCTGCTGCTGAGCAGTGCTTCAGAGTCCAGACCTTTTCTGCATCTCATCCCACTCCACCCAGGGAGAAGGCTGGTGGTACACAGGAGTTGGGAGTGGATACAGCCAGGACAGCTGACCCCAGCTGACCAAAGGGATATCCCACACCATATGGCACCATATTCAGCATATAGAGCGGGATAAGAAGGAGAAAAGGCTGAAGTTTAGAGAGATGGTGTTTGTCTTCCCAAATCATGCTTGGCTTTCCTGGAGATGGCTGAACACCTTCCAGCCCATGGGAAGAGGTAAATGAATTCCTTGTTTTGTTTTGCTTGTTTGGAAGGCTTTTGTTTTACCAACTGTTTTTGCACCCTATAAGCAGCTCTGTAGGTCTCATAACAGTCCATCAGTTTAGATTTCAATCTGCGTAATAAAAATCAAAAAAGTAGGAAAAAGAAGAGAAACATACTACATGAACAGGATAGAAGTTATTTCCATATGAAATGCTACAAAAATCTAGAGAAGTTTTGATCTTTTAGTACCAATTTAACAATACAGAAGAATCAATTTTCAGAGCAAAATCTGAATATATACTTTGACAAATCCATGGTTAAGACAGTCGGAGAGGTTCCTAATCCATAGAACTCAAATCAGAGTTACTTATTCCAGGCCCAAAGCAAACTGCTTAGCAAAGCTATCTGTCTTGAAATAAAAGCCAAATAGTGAAACTCCAAAAAAAAATGTCTATATTGGCATTCTTCCACTGAAATTATTCCCATCAGCTTTAAAAAATAAAGAACAGGAGACAGAAATAAACCAAGGGTTACTATGCTGGAACAAAGTACTGCATTTACAAACAGACAGCAAGAAAATCATGTGCCGAACAATATGATTGAAACAAAAATCTGCTACCACACGATATTATCATCACTCAACAATTAGAGGAGATATGCTGAAAAGATGTATGTGTACAAGGACATATACATTAAAGTAAAGAGGGTAAACACCATCAACCTTCTTGACCAGGCCTCCATCCAAAGCACAAGTTCTTACAGAAAGTTTATCTACTGTCAAGGAAATTAAATGCTTTGTTTTTTTGTTGGTTTTTTTTTGTTTTTTTGTTTTTTTGTTTTGTTTTTGTTTTTTAATCTATTCTTATAAAAGTTTTTCTTTTGTAACTATCTGAAGTGCTTCGGTAATTTTACATAATTATCAACAAATACCCAAATACCCTGGTCATTCCCACTTGCACTAAGACACAGCCATATGTGACAGTTAATTTCAGAAACTAATTAACATCAGTAGCTCAAAAGTTAAAAATACAAAGTCATAACCTCTCTAAATTAAAAGCTATGTAACTAATCACTACAATGGATTTTTTCCCTTCTGGAATTGCTGTCTTGAATGAAGGGGAAAAAATTCAGCTCTTAGGATCTGGAACTCTAAAATGTCAGGGAAGTCTGTGCTAATAAATATATAAGAGTAATTATTTTCAAGGGTTTCTTCTTTTACCTCTACAGACATTACTGACATCAAAACACAAAACTTCTCTTGTCCATAATGTGGAAGAGGCTACAGCATGCAGGACTGAACAGGGTGGGGATGCTGCACCTCTGTGTGTACAGCTACAAGAGCGCAGAGGTTAATCAAAAATATTCCCTGGAAAGTACAGAAAGAAGTAATTCAGTAAAGGAAGCAGCTTTTTTGTGGAAATCTGGTACTATCTTACAACCTTCCTTTAACCTCTACCTTCACTTGAACAGAGATGGGCTTGCCATGGATTTGACAAGCTTGGCAAAATCTCTGTGGAAAAAGGAAATAAAGGAAGCACAATGTACGGGAGGGACATCATGGTGAAGTAGAAGGGAGGAAAGCACAACAAAGGCAGTGCATAATTCCAGAAGAAACCATTGGAAAACCCAACATGCAAATGAAAAAAAAAAAAAAAAACATGCTCTGGTCTCTTACCTTGCTGTCAGAAAGATCAGTCCATTTTGTTGTTTCCCAGAATGTCTCTGTCAAAGCTTCTGAGCAGCTTTCATGATCCTCATCTTTGCCTTCTGCATCACTGGAAGCAGCCCCTTCTTGGGTCTGCAGATGAAGAAGTTGGTCAGCCAGTGCACTTCCCTTTCGACAAAGTGCATCCACTAAAGTACTCTTCTGTTTTTCCATTTCACTAGGGAGATAAAAAAACAGTATGAAAAATATTTAGACTCTTTTGTAGATACATCCTTAAGAACAGAAACAGTGCTAACTCAGTTTAAGAAAAAACGTTTACAGTCATTAGTACACACAAGGCTATTTACTATAAATTAAACTAACTATATAAGATTACCCAAAGACACTCTGCATTAAAGATACTCAATCATTATTCTAAGTATGAAATGCCTTAGATGACTTAAGGCAAGGGCAACTCAGCATTCTAAATGTAAGTCAGAATCTAGAAATACAGCTTTATAGTTCCTGGCATTATAAACAGAGAGTTGAGTCCACCACTAACATAAACAGATATAATTCTGCTGACTTCAAAGGAATTGCATCCATTTAAAGCACCATTTAATTTGGTGTTCAATTTCAGATGTTATATTCAAAACACATGATGTAATGGGTCAACCTACCAAGAAAGATTTAGAATTAAGTTTATTATGTCAAGGCTTTGCTTTTATATCAGCAATTCTAGAATTACACACAAATCTGGATTCAGGATAGCTAGAACAGACCAACTAGCTTTACAATTGAAATCTGGTATTTTATAGATAATCAACAAAGATGCATCTCCCATTTGAAGGGCCTAATATTCAGATCTGCTGTTCTTTTACTAAAACAGCACCATGTTACACACAGCAAAATTCATTACTTATTCTCCAGACTAAGGTGTCACCTTCAAAATACTATCTTCCTAAGGATATACATACTGATAGTACACAGGAACAAGCTAAAACTAAAGAAGATCAATGGGTCTCAAATACTCTGAAGCTTGGTCATCACACTTTTCAGAAATGAAATCTCTTGCATGCAGGCAGTTACTTCTTTGGCCAATATAAATTTTGTCCTCAAATACAGATGGGAAAGATTGCAAAATATAAAGAAAAGGCAAGTACATTCACAACAGATACTTCTACTAATACTCTAGTGGTCCCCCTGAGCTTAAATTAAGCTTGATACAACAACTTAAAATCCCATTCTTCTAATACATCTAAATCCTGAAAGAACCGTTGTTTATTTTATTGAATAAATAAAAAATTGGAAGTTTCAGTGTCCCTGCATTCTGGAGATATAATAAGAGAACACAACAATTATGTTGTCATATTTTAAATTGCGTGTGCCACAAAAAAATAATACAAGTTATCAAAAAAAGTGTCAGTCATTCCATTTCTTACATGCAGAGACAAAGTACATAGACTACAGAAATAGGATGCAGGAAAATTATTTACTGGGTAGGTACTTTTTTATAGTAGTTGCATCAGGCCTGGGATCAGTCTTCATGGCAAAATATACTGCTAATGCTGTTTGATCAATATGAGAGATTACTGTATTTGCAGCTTCAACGATTTCATCAAGCCTTTTCATTCGTTCCTAAAACAAGAATATAAAGATGTTCAGCACTATAAAATCACTTAATTGTTGATTCTACTAACATTAGGGTGATTGCAACGCTATGCAGAAAAAACACCTAATCATTCAACATGTTCTTTTCTCCATTTCGTTTAAATTTTGCTTAAAACACCCTGCATACTTAGTCCATTTCATTGAAAACAAACTGTGAAATATCATTGGAGGTTGCAATATGCAAAATCCAGAGTTTACAGAAAGAGAAACACCTTTCAGTACAAATCAGTACTTTTGTGTAATGTAGCAGTTATTAAATTCAGAAATAAATATAAAATCAGAATGAAAAGAAAAATATTCAAACTAGTGGCATATGCACAAAGGTGTTTGTCTTCAAGATGCAAAAGCCACACACATACTCTTCTGTTGACAGTTCCCATTTTTGAGGACAATAATGGAAGCTAGATTTAGCTGTGTCACTTTAGAGGGTTACTGTCCTCAGCTGTCTGAGACATGCTGCTAGGAGAAATTACCAGTCCAGAAGAAAAACAAAATAAGATGTGTGTTTGTCTCAGTAGCCACCATTCAGTATAAAACTGTTGTAGACTATGTAAGTATGAAAACTTAAAATGTGTTTAATTGAACAAGGCGTAACCTGATGAGCAAACACACTTTGGTTATGCATACTTTCTTTCACTCTGCTGTGGAACTGGGTAAATCACAGTCAAGGGAGGTACCTGTCACTCTAATTAGAAATTTCTGCTTTTTAATACTGTGTACAGTCACTTCAAGTTCAAATGTGTACAAAGAAAGACTTAGTTGTTTAGGCTACATGGGTGTTTTGAGACAAATCAAGTTTAAGAAGTGTTAAATAACCTTTTCAGAATCCAGCTGATGAAGTCTTGCAACATACAGAGGAAGATGATTAGGAAATGCTTCTTTCAACTCACTGTACATATCTGTCGTATCCAGCCTAGAAGAGAGGACCATATAGCATGAAAGAACAGATTCTGAATATTTTTCTGAACTTCAAGCTTGTGTAGTAATGACAGCAGACATACTTGGTCATCCACTGTATTTTTAGGTCTCTTAAAGCTTCAGCAAATTCTTCTTTTGCATCTTTTTCTTTTTCCTGTTCTTTTTCTTTCTCTTTGCTGCCATTTTTACTCTTTGATGGTGATGGTATCAAATGATAATGAACAGTAAGGACATCCTGGAGGTGGGAAAAGAGACACATACTCAGAGTGATACAGTACAGGGTTTTTTAATATCATATGAAAGCTAAATCATAGCCAGCAACTACTCTGAGCTACACATACAGTGAGTAAGGATTCTGAGAGCAAAGATATTAGACAGTAAAAATTCAGGAACTACTTTAAGTTTTTATTCTAAGCAATGCAAGGATGTAAATATTAAAACAGCACACTAGGTATAAGAAAAGAAAGCCTAAAATTTAGCTAATTTGATATTTTTACATTCACATAATTTTACATAATATTAGTTAAGGAATAAGGGAGGTGGTTTTCTGTTTGTTTGCTGATAAAAATCAACAACTTGGTTAAAAGATAAGGGAAAAAAGACAGAGATCCTATCCTACAAATCTGGCAATAAACAAATTAATAAAGATGGCTGAATTCTAAAAAATAGTACCACAGTAGCATAAATATGTAACAGGATATGTTTATTACTCCCAAGATACTATTTCTTCCATGTGCATACTGAATTAGCTGATGCATCCAGAGTCAACTGATTTCCATTTTGCTACTGCAGACTTCCCAGTTTCACCTGAATCTCAGTTCTAATTAAGTAGACACAACAGCAAGATTTTTTAAAAAATCTTAAATGATAGCATAGAAATATGACAATAGTTTGCATTCATGCTACACTAATCAATAACCAGCATGAGAAAATCAGTTACAGCTATTTAAAAGGAAAATCCTAACTCAGACCATGTCTTTGAAGCCCGTTTCCTGACAATTTACATGTAAGTTTGCAAGTAGAGTTAGATTTCATCCACTGCTTCTGCAACATCAAACTGATGGGTGAGGCCATTTGGTTCCTTTTGGTTTTAATGTTGCAATCTTTAAACAAGTGCCCTAACAGTGAGGGCACATGTCCCACTACTTTATATACAGGATATTTCACAGAGAAGATCCCATTAGTTTAAATCCTCCAGATACCACTACTCTGTTGCAACATGCTGCAAAATACTGAGTTGCATGCTCAATTACTGTGGCAACTTAATTATTCTTACCAATTATTCCAGAATACATTTGTGGGAATGCTTCCCATAAACCAGGTCAGTGTTGTATAGTAAAATTAACCCTTGTGTATAAAATGGAGTTAAAGTTACTTAAATAGCAAGTAAAACGATGACAGAAACTGCAATAATGGACTTTAACATTAGACTTCTGAAACATTCAAAAACCATGTTGCAGAAAAATTTTATTTGAAATTGCAGCTCAAATAGACCAGCATCTTGCCATGGGTTACTGAATACAATACTGGTAAAAGTTACTTCAATATTCCTTTAAATTTTTTTTCCAGCTACTTAATATGTAATCAAAGAATTACAACATGGACATTTAAATACTTTTTTTGAAAACTAGTTGAGATAACTAATATGCATTAAAGTGTAGCTTTCACAGGAACTATCCTGCACAAATGCATTGCAAGTATGAAGTGCACAACCAGACACTACACCCAAATGAGCCTCCAGCAAGACCTAGGCCAGAGCATGACAAAACAGGTCATGGAAGTACATACAGGAAGATACAGAGGTATCTAAAGCAAACCAAACATTTTAAGAAGTCTAAGAAGCTAGTTCAGCACAAAAATCTTAATTTACAATGTCTTCTGAAAGATGTCTTCTATCAAGACTAATATTTTCCTAAGAAATACACCTGCCTTTCTAAGAAATAGTCTTCCAAGAGTTGAGGACTTCCTTTTTGAAAGTCCATTTTCATTTCACTTGGCAGCATATTTTTTGAGTTTTATATCTAGATGACCTCGGCATACTCAAGCCTTGTCTATATGAGAAGGCTCTACAACTCTGGTTTAAGCTTCAAACCAAGCATAATTGTATTAACAAAATCTTGCTTAGGTGGATGAACATTTGCATTTTGAGAAACTAACTCTATGTAGCTAAACCATCAACAGTAAAATGTCATTTCCCCGTTCTCTCACATAGGTACTTTTGGTCTCATGAGGTTCTGCAAGCATTACAAGCTACAGCCACTGAAAGGAAAACAATGAGTTTCAGCCACAGGCACCCTCCTCTCAAAAGAGTTTCCAGAGGAGACTTCTCTACAGACCTCAAAATTATTTCACGGGATAAATAAAGTTTAGGTTATCATCACATTTAACTAACTATTACAGGGCATTAAGAGGGACTGAAGGCTTACTTATTTTATCTGTAAACAACAGGATAATTTATAACACTGGGCAACTCCTTAGGTACCAGAGGATCTCAAAATGGCACTGTCACTGCCATTACAGAAACATTCATCATTAGAGAATAAGGAGAACAAAGGCAGCTCCTCACAATTCAACACTCCAATCTGTTTTCTTATTCAAATTTCTCTCTGACAGGAACAGAATTCCTAGAGTAGTGTACTGGATTTCATTTTTATATACCTATAAAAAGATAAAGAGCTATAGACAGAGAAAGACAGCAAATGACCATATTATCCACTGAAAAAGTTACTTTAAGGAAGCTTTCAAATTTATCCTCTACAAACATATGCAGCATTGAGCAACTGGGAAGCATACAGGATACACACTTCAGTCAATGTACTCTGTGGAGTCTCGCAACCCTCAAACTACACACATAAACAAGCACAGTGCCATCAAAACAGTCACCTCTTGAAAGAGCTTAATTAACAGTTAATTTGGCTTCAAGATTTCAATTTATATTTCTGTCTGGTGTTTTAACATCTAGTACTTTATACGTAAAACACACATGAAACTATTGTTATTTGTACTTCAAAGCATTCACAGCAAAGCTAACCACAGGAAAAAAAGCTCCCTCTAGGAACATGCCCCAGGTCTCATTTTCCATTTGGGTGTCTTCATATTAATGCCTATCTGCACATACAGATGAATATACACATGGAATTTGAATCTGTTTTAAGATGCATACAATTTGTGCAGTGTTGCTTATTTTTATGGCAACTCTCATTTAATGGAAAATTAATTAAGTTTCTTGGAGTCACCAGGCTTACACAAAATTGCAGACACACACTTCAAATTATTTTTGAATGTCTCATGGTTAAACAGGGCTAGTATCTTAATGCTCCAAGTCACCCTTTTACATTTTCTTCACAGTGGTTATTTATTAGTCTTCCACTAGTACTTATCAATATTTGCGTAATGAATTTCTTGCTTTAAACTGGAAGAAAGGATAGCAGAATAGGTAAAAAGGTGTAGAAACTTTCCATCCCTTGGCTAATTGTTACATATTGCTGTTCAAAAGCTGCATTATGCAAACCAACAAAAAAAATCATTATTATAGACCCAAAAAAGTCAATCATATGGTTTTCATTCTAACTATGTTCTGGACAAAGCTTGGAGACAAGGGGAAAAAGTAATCAGATTTTAACTGTGTTACAAATGAAAACAAAGACACCAGTTTATTATGTGGCAAGAACTCCTTCACATTTTTGTACAGTATAAAAGAACTAACTATCTTTGGAAACCTAGGCTGCTATTTCCTGGCATAACCACAAACTGCTTTTATAAAAAACAGAAGTGCAGTCAGGTGGATTGAAACCTGCTGAACATCTGGGCCCAGAGGGTGGTCGGTGACACACAGTTGGAGTTCAGTAACTAATTGTGCGCCCCAAGAGTCAATTCTGGATTGAAGCGTGTCTGATGTCATCATCAGTTACCTGGATGAGGGAGGCAGAAAACACCCTCAGCACATTTTCTAGTGACACCAAACTAGGAGGAGTGGCTGAGATGCCAGGGAGTCTGCTGCCATCCAGAGGGATTTCAAAAGGCTACAGAAATGGGCTCAACAGGAGCCTCATGAAGTTAAACAAAGAGATGTGCAAGAACTGGAAAAGAATAAATCCAGGCACACCACATGCTGGGGGCCATACAATAGGAAAGCAGCTTGGCATCCTGGTGGACACCAGGTTGAACATGAGTCAGCAGTGTGCCCTTGTGGCAAAGAGGGCTATTAATCTTACAAGGACCAGGATCTATCTTTGAAAAATATGAAAAATCTACACACACTTTTTTGACTGACTGCACCACTGAAAAAAGACATAAACAAGTTTTCTGTGCTGGAAAACATCTTAACTGCATGTAAACTTATGACAGGGCAGAGTAAATAACAAAATTTTTAAACCAGGAAGGCCTCTGGGTTGCATTCTCAGCAAAATGCATTAAATGGAGCTCTTACAGAACAATGCCCTGAAATACACTGCGTTTTATTTCACAGAATATGCCGAGTTGGAAGGGACCAAAAGATCATCCAGTCCAGCTTCTGGCCCTGCACAGCACTATCTCAAAGAGTCACACCATGTGCCCAAGAGTATTGTACAAACACTTCTTGAACTTTGTCAGGCTGATGCTGTGACTTCTCTGGGGAGCCTGTTCCAATGCCCAACCATCCTGTGGACGAAGAATCATCTTATAATATCCAACCTAAACCTCCCCTGACACAACTTCAGGCTACTTCAGGTCCTGGTCACCATAGAGAAGAGACCAGTGCCTGTGGCTCCACCTCCCCTCATAAGAAAGTTGCAGACTGCAATGAGGTCTCCCCTCAGTCTCCTCCAGGCTGAACAGACCAAGTGACCTCAGCCACTCCTCATATGCTTCCCCTCAAGGCCCTTCATAATCTTCGTTACTCTCCTCTGGACACTCTCTAATAGTTTAATATCTTTCTGATATTGTGGCACCCAAAACTGCACACAATATTCAAGGTGAGGCCACCCCAGTGTGGAGCAGAGCAGGACAATCCCACTGGTGCAGCTGTGCCTGATGTTCCCCAGGACACATTTGGCCCTCCTGGCTGCCAGGGCACTGCTGACTCATATTCAACTTTCTGTGGACCAGGACACCCAGGTCCCTTTCCATGGCACTGCTTTCCAGCCTCTCATTCCCCAGTCTGTACTGTACATCCAGGGCTGGCCCATCCCAGGTGCAGAATCCAGCACTTTCCCTTGCTGAATTTCATATGGCTGGTGATTGCCCAGCCCCCTGTTTTGTCAAGGTCTCTCTGCAAGGCCTCGTTGCCTTCAATGGAGTCATCAGCTCCTCCCAATTTAGTATCGTCTGCAGACTTGCTTAGTATCCCTTCCAGTCCTGTGTCCAAGTCATTATGAAGATGCTGAAGAGCACAGGCCTGAAGATGGAGCCCTGAAGAAATCCACTAGTTTATTTGCTTCTAGTACACCAATGAGTAATAGAGGGAAGTAACAAGAAGGACAGTTCTTTTTGGCTTTGGTGGTTTTAGTGCTCAGATCTGAAAACAAATCTCTGTTCTAAAACCAAAGAGAAAAAAATAAACCAACAAAAAACCAACAAAAAACTCAAAACCAAAACAAAAAACCACAACAACAACAACAAAAAAAAACCCAAAAAACCCACCCAAAACCCACAACCTCTGGAATCTGTTTAATAGGTTTTTTATTCAAATTGTATTATTATTATAGTTTAATTCCCTTGTTAGAGATGCACTTAGTGAAGATCTTATACCCTATTTACCAGGAAGTCATGCATTCACATGGGATTTTAAATTATCTTTCTGAAAGCAATCAACATGATTTTCAGGTATGAAAATAAAACTCAGTAACACACACTAAAATCCTTCTTGAAAAGCCTAATCTCATTTCTCATTGTTATTACACCAAGACAAGAGTAAGTTAGCAGGTTCGTGTTCCAGCTTACTATTCACAAAATAACAGAGTATGACTATGAACTATGTAATTCATGGCTCTCAACAAGAATCCTGGCTAATCTGCATGTCACTCCAGAACAAAGTACCTTGAAATCAACAGAAAGCAAATACCTTTACAACTTAAGAACAAGAAAAAACCCAGTAACCTTATGTAGTAGTTTAGTTAAATATATGTTTTCATTTTTTTTAAACAAACTGTTTTACACTGACTCCTGGTAAAATATTGTATTACCTGATATGAAAATACAAAAAAGCACAATATTAAACACTGTTATACTGAAAGTCACTCCCTTTCCAAACTATCTGATACATGCTCCAAAATTCACTCTGTGAATACTACTACCTGCTGTGTGACTGTATAAACTCTAGCTTCCTTGTATGTTTTTTATGACTGTAAAGAAGACAACTCTCAATTTAGTAGACTGGGAATACAGTTAGATATTCAATTATTCAATTCAAAGTATTAGGTTCATATTTGATTTTCAATCTGCAGACAGAATAGGCAGAAACACTTGCCACAAAAAATCTTGACCACAAACACTGCACATTCCTAAGTATTTAAGAACAAGAAAAATTGCAGACCACTAACAACACATGCATTTTTACAGCACTTATTGCAAAAGTATACAGATGCTCACATGCCTCTCAGCTATGTGTTACAGCAGTGTTTTGTCATTCTACCAATAAACATACTTAAGGTGCTGAAGTAAATAATTCAGGTCTAAGCAGGTAGATGAAGGAGACAAATTAAAAACCAAGACTGGTAGACAAATTCTTTAAGTTATATGCAAAAAGATTTCAGTATATCTTTTTCAAAAACTAACATTCAGTACCTTTTTAAATTTTCCTTGTCGCTTTGCTGCAGACTGCCCCTGGGAGTTAGAATAACATACTGTAAGAAAACATGCACACACCACACAGGATGGAGACACCTTCTCTGTACAATTATAGTTATACTTCCAACCTACAGATTCCCAACTTTTAGAGAGTCACATATATGATCAAACATGCTCTTAAAGCATGCTCTTTCAGGTTTTTAAAATTAATAAACCAATGCATCACTGTATATACAATCCATTATTCCTGCAATATAAGCAAGTGTTGTTAACCACTTAGCTTCAGTTAATAAATTACAGAAATTCAGCCTCAGAATTTTAGATTTTTGACTGTTTAGTGGCATTGTTCTCTTTCATAATAAATACTGACAGATTAGATACATTTTCCCTTACCTTGCATCCACCCACTGACTTAAGAGACAACTTTGCTGCCTAGTCCTCCTTTTTTGTCCCTTGGTACCTACTGAGGTTCACTAAAGGCAGCAGAAAGTATCAGATGCTATTTGATACCATCCTCTTTCCACTGAAATATGACCATAAGTAATGGCTTTGGCTATGACATGAGGAACATGTCAAATAGAATTTCTTTCAGTGTAAGGTCTTAAGTATTCTCCATCATATGAAATTTGACAGGCAGCATCTACCTATCTCCTGCTTCCTATCCCAGAAACCATTGTATACAGCCACTTAGTCTGGTTTTAAAATTAAACATGCAAGGTTGCAACCAATAGATCATGGAAGTGCACAATTCTAGCTAGGTAAACTAAATTACACTAGTGTAATGGATTTATCATGGATTTCACAAAAGCACACTTGTGATCCTGCACGTATCACAAAGAAATATTAAACTAGGTATTTAAGAGCTCCTAGTTACTGGGTTTTTCCTCACTGATAAATAAATTCTCCTGATACATTCTCACCAGCAGTTACATGTAATCTGCCCCAGAAGTACAACCATTCAGATTGAATTAACTAAATTTTTAAGCTTAACAAGACCTAAAGGTACATACCAACCTACTCCCAGAAACTTATTTTCTATGAAGGCACACTCTAGTTTTCTACATGTTGTTCAGTCACATCTAGTGGTATATGCACATAGATCAACTACCTGAGTACTAACAATCATCAGGATTGACTAAAATTTAGTCTCTTACCATCTGTTTAAAAACAGCTAAGGGAATCTTCTAAACACTGTAGCACCAGATACACAGAAAAGTGACAGTTACTATAATCACTATTGAATTATAGTCATACAAGTTGAAAAACATTTTTCATAGGATGTGGTGTTATGAGCAAAAAAAAATCCTTCATCTTTTTTTTCCAGCCTCACGCACAGAGATCTTATACCATTCTGTCGAAGCATACAATCATACTAGTGGTTGACAACAAGTGTGTAGCAGGTAAGAAAATCTGTTTATGTATTTGAGTCAGCAAAATGTTACCTACTACTTGGTAACAGTAACATGTTTATGTGTTTAGAAAGCACATGTTTCTGCTGAATATTGCATGCATATGATGAAGAGTATTACAGAACCAACATGCACATAACACTATATACACGTATTTTTCATTCAAAAATTACATTAAGTTAGGAAGTTACATAAGGTCAATTTTAAAGCTTCCACACCAACAAGAAAGCAGTTGCTTCTAGAAATAAACTATTTCAGAGCAAAAGAACTAAAACTCAAAATGTAAAAAATACAATTAAATTTGAAACTAGAAGATGAAAATAGTAATAGAACTACTTAGAAATTATGCTGACTTTATAATGAAACAACTGCTTCTAAAATGTATTATCTTACCAAACCTAACGCTCTTTGAAGTACTAACCTCATACAACACAGCACTTCCTGGCATGCAATTTGATTGCTAGAAAAAATTTCAGAAAAAACCCGCATCATCCATTCCATATACTCACTGCTTTCTTTCCAAGTTCTGTTTTAGACAGAGTAAGACTTCCTGCAAGATAACATCCTGGTCCTGCTCCTTTAGGTATTCTGTTCAAAGAAAGTAAGTTCAGTGTTAAAACCAGGTTCACTAAGGTTCCATGGAAACTACAATACAGAAGCCAAACAGGGAAAGAGCAACACGAGGAATAACCAAGACTGGACAGGCAGACACTATTAAAGTATTATTTTAGTGAGGTGCAGAGACAGGTGCTTAGATGCAGATGAGAAAAACAACACATCGTAACTTACTTGTCATCTGGCAGGGATGTAACAAAGAATGGCTGACTATGTTTTGGTGGTAATGTCAAACTGTTGGATTTCTTCTTCCCTAAGAGAGCAAGGCTATGGTTTTCATAAATATCTAAGCTCAAGGTACTAGACAGCCTATGAGAAACAATAAATGGCAGGTCTTTGATGCGGTCCAGCTCACTGTTCTGCTCATGACGAATTTGTAACCGAATAGTGTAATCTCCTTTTTCCAGTTTCACAGAATACTGAAAGAAAGAAGTTCTCGTAAGTGCCAACACTCAACATTTTATCTTTCATAAAAAAACCCTCCAAACCCCAGAAATAAGATTTTCGTGTTTTGAAAGCATTCTTTCATTTTTATCAACCTGACAGGGCAACACACAGCTGTTTTGAGCAATTGTATGCTAAGTTTCATTTTTGATACTGCTGCAGTGAAACAGAAAGTAGCCCCAAGTAGCAAGGAACAACAACACACAACTACCCTGTTCCTAGAATCTCCCTCTCCTAGGTTGGGGAGTCATGCTTCCTGTTGGTATTTCTTTTGGATTAAATAATTTAGAATTGTTTTAGAATCGTCCTATGATGCACAACACCACAGACTTACAGCATGATAGTCTACCAGGTCTAAGTAACAAAGCACTAGGGTGATGCTTAGATTTTATAGTATCTTAAAAACGCAGGTTAAGGAATAGAAGCTTACACAATGCAATTTCTGAAAATAATTTAGAAACCGTAAAGGATGTCTCTTGAAACTGTCTTTTGTACACTTCCAGAATAATCAATCTATCAAAATTAACATTACACTGATGATGTTCAACTGTGATTTTATATTGGTAAAATATAGTTTCAAACAAAAAAATTATTAATAATGTTTCTTTTATAACTTTTTTCCTTTTTTAGTTTTTTTTTTTTTATTATTTTCTACTTCCACCATGATTGAGACAATCTGTTAAGGAAGAAAGAGATTCCTGCAGAGGGTAGAGAATCTACAAGTGTTGTACAAAAAAGTTCTCTTTCAAAGATGGCAACGGGAAGCAAAAAAAGCTGAAGCATTAAAAAAGCTGTTTGAAGATATCAACACTCATGAATACAGAAACCTCTGCTCTATCAGCACACAAGTCAGACCTTGCATAGAAAAGTTTAAGGTATTGTCTTTGTAAAAAAGCAAAACAAAGAACAACACAATTTTGAGCTCATTTCTTGAAAAGCACCAAGCAAAATCACAAGAAATCATAAGTTAACAGCCTTTCCTCCTTCTCCTTCCTCAGGAGAGAAAAAAAATCATGTTCTGCTTCATTGACACATACTTTTTTTTTTGATACAAATACATCACCATTGAACCTGGTATGACTTCTTGTGAATATATAAGAACATTAAAATTATGCATCAGGAAACAAAGAGCTAAAAGGAGTCCTGAGAAGTAAAAGAAAAAATGAACCTTTTCACAGTCTTCAGCAAAAGAAGGTAAAATAAATACATTACTCTGTACCTGGTGTGGATAGGCATCTCCTGAACCCATTTGTCTTTTGTTCTGGTCAAAAATAATCCAGAGCTGACTATCGAATTCAGATTCATACAACAATTCACAAAGAAGTGGACAGCTTGGAGTTACTTCTCCACTCTTAGGCTATTAAAAGAAAGGTAAAAACATTTAGTCTGCTACAGAATAAAACAAGTAAAATCCTTACATACATATTCAAAAAAATAACTGAACTCTAGCATGTTTCAAATAACACTAGCTATTAAAGTGGACCAAATCAGACTTTTGACTGTAGGGAGTCTAGAGCGTGACTCTAGACCTCCTTTCGAAGAGAAAGCTAGTTAAAATTAAGATCTGGTTAAAGAAAACATGATGTGTTTATTAACAACTTAAAAAAAACCCAACTAATGTAACCCTTACCTGATGGAAGTTATAGGTCAAAATCATCTCATACAGTTGACGATTATTCGGTAAAATATCTCTGGATCCCAAAGGTTTTATTTTTGCACTCACTGGTCTGCAGTTAAACAACAAAAGGTTCTCTTGAGAAACATGTATCCTCTATCAAAATTTGTCTTGCTTAGGTAGAAGCATGTTCTGAGATACAACTGAATTCAGCCCATGCCATAACATCTCATATATTGTAACTATCCAAGCAGCATAAATTCCTCAGTTAAAATTAATATCAGTCCAAAAACAAGGTTTAGTGACACTACAGACACTGCCAAAAAAAAAAAAAAGAAGACAATGTAGTAAGCATGTCTAAATGCTCAAAATTAAAGGCCATTAAAAGTTTAAGGGAAAAAAAAAATCAGGTTACATGTCTAGTATCCATGCTGAAATCAACACGTGTATTCATAACTGCAAGATTAATGGCACTGCAATTAGAAGATACAACAACTGATAATTCCTTGTTATAGAAGGTTGTATCTTCAGAGAATGTAAGAAGCCTTACAGTAATCTGAGCAGTAACACAGAAGAATGTACACTACAGATGTGTATGTTAACTCAGACAGAGTTGGGAAAAGCAGCCAAGATACAGGGCAGCCAAACATTTTAGACCTCAAAGAATATAAACAAAGTAATAAAGTTATAGGAAAAATCTAAGCTTCAGAAATAAAGAACACCAGAATCAGGGTGGTCTGGCATCGTTTAAGTTTACCTTTCATTCATTAAATCAGATGACCTCTAACAACATGATCAGAATTTGTCTCTAAGGTTTGCCAGCTCTTTCATTGTCAAGGGCACAGACTAGTCACCCAGTAAGATATGGGTGCTGGGTCAGACCACAGGTTTGTTTAACCCAGGTTTCCTAGTCTGGCAGACACTGGATAGACTACTGACAGAAGACTTAAGAACTGAGTAATCCACACATGATATGATATTCCTCCCTAACATTCACCATGACTCCAAGCATTTGAAACAGGAGACAGAATGAAAAGTCATTCAGTAATTCTCTCTCTGTGTCATGACTCATTAGTTCATTCAAGAGACACTATTCCTGCCATAATTTAAATACATAAATATTTCTCCATAGTTTACTTAATTGCAGTTAATTTACTGTCAGATGAGTGCCTTACAAGGAGTAAAGAGCATGTCCATTTTTCCAGCTAAGAATGAGGCAAATATTAAGGGACTGTTTTATTACGGCACATCTGAATCTAACATTAAGCGATACGTTCATTAAACTCCTGGCAATTCCAATTAGTCAATTCCAGTTACAAGTACCCAAAAGCCCCAGACAGAACCCAAAGTCTCCACTCACAGGCCCAAATAATGGAAAACTTTAGATTACTGACCACTGTGAAATTATCCCACATCTCAAAAGTACCATTTGAACCACACGGCATTTCTTTATCCTTCTGAAGTGACCAGCTTTAATCACTGCTGCACTGTTTAAAAATTTTCCAGCAAAGTTCTTTCCCCAAATCAGCATGTGTTAAACTAACAAAGTAAACACACCTTTCCCCCAAAAAATCTGCACCAGATTCTACAAAAACACTTTTAAATCAAGCAAGAGAAAAACCAACAAAAAAAAAAACCAAAACAAAGAAACCAGAACAACAAACAGTAGCGCATAATAACTTCAATAGCTCTAGAAATTTTTTCTTTAGATTTTAAAGTACCTTTTACCTCTAAGTGCCTGGAAGCAGTGGAAAATTTTTGCAATTTTTTCTTCTTTCAAATTAGCTTAAGGAAAGTTATTTGTCTTGAAAAATATCACCAAAAAGAAGAAAATGCTGACAAATTAACTGATGCTTCCGAAGCTAGTTTGAATTTAACAACAATATTTTTGTAATCCTGAATTTCACTGCTAATGTGTTACTGTTTTGACTCTACATATGAGCAGTTTTCCCAGTCTTCCAAAACAATTCCCCAGAAACTCTACCTGAGCGTTTGAACCCAGCTTTTCAGATTTATGCAAGGAGCAATATCTTCGTATTTCAACAGGGACTGAACATCAAACCGTACGATGCCTTCTGAAGCATGCTGGAAGAAGAGTGTAGAACAATTATGCTTCTGTGCACTTACAGCCAGCATGACATGAGGACCACCCATCACAACCCTCAAAAATGCAATATAAGCTGTAATTATTTAAACTTCAACAAGTAATACTGTGTAATTCTGAAAGTGTCACAAGTGCATCTCTATTTTACAACATAATATTGGGACTTGCAAAACTTATATAAATAAAACTTAAGCTCCAGCTGCTCATTCTTTCCCTCCCTAATTTAAATACTTAGAACAGAACTGGTAATTCATACTACAGGCAGGACTCCATTTGTTTGTGCATTTAGGATGATTTACTTTCAATACGTAATTCAATATATAGAATACAGAATACTAAAACAAGTATTTTATGGTGTTTCCTAGGCCTATTATTACAGAATAGATTAACTCTGCAAAAGAGAAACAATACTGCATACACAGACTTGGTGATGGGCAAAATAATTCAGTCAGTTTATTTCTAGCAGCATCCCATGACAAAGACACTAGTATATGAGCACTATTGAAATTTATTTTATGAAAGTTCTGATGCTCAAAAAGGAAGGGCATGACTCTTTTTATTCTCTTATTTTTCACCATACATTGTTCATTTGGTATAATCCTGTTGGGCTGGGGGCAGCTTCTGTGCGCACCATCACCAACAACTCTTTCTTTATCTGTTCTACCAGTTCAAGACCTGGTGCCTTAACACACTATCCACTCTTTCTTCCCCAGTTTATTGAGCTCTTAGAGCCTGAATGCATCCAAATTCACCCACGGGAGAGCTACAATTTGTTCTGGCCTTCAGCTAAAAAAAAAAGTATTAGCATGCTGCTGCTTCATGTAGGTACCAGCTCCCAAAAGCTCTCTCCTGAGGGAGGCAGTGTCAAGCTAAACCAGGTTGCATAGGACAGCAAAGAACACAGGACCAAGTGTACTTTGTCTAACGTTTTAAGCAACTTTTTCAATCTTTAGTATCACAGACCATCAGGAATCATGACACTGCCCCACCTACCATACCTTCAACTGCCCTAAATGATAAATCTCAAGCCAATCACCACATCTCAACAGAACACTGAAGATAAAATAAATTTTAAGGAAATTTTACACTGAATATGGTATTCACAGTGCTGTTGTTTTAGCAATGGTAGTCTAGGTACTTAAGTACAAGTACAGTGGTCCCAGCAAAGTTTATTTACATAAAACACTTGGTACCATAAGCATATTTATATTTTCAGCCTTTTAGTATGTTTTATGTACTGGTTTAGGTTTTTTGTTTGGGTTTTTTTCTTTTTTTATCACTACTGCTTTATAATGAAAAGGCATAGAAAAAAGTCATTAATGGCATGTCATAATGGTAACTGACATTTCTTTGGGACTGAACTCCAGTTTAACAATTTTTAAGAGAGAACATGGAAGTCTCATGTACAGAAGTACTTTCATTGTTTCTAAATTCAAGTAAGAAGGAAGAAAAGCTGTTTTTTTTCCTGAGAAACCATAGGATTTCACAGTAATTCAATATAAGCACTCTGGAAAACTTACCATGTTTAGCTGAGGAGCACCACAAAGTACGCCATGGAAAGAAATTGTGTAATTAATGCTAACATCACTAAGGCTTGCCCACCACCGAGCAACACAAAATTCAATGGTTTTTCCAGCCTGGGTAACAAAAGCACAAAGTTAGTCCCCAGCTCCCATCTTCCTTTTCTATTGACCCCAACCTCCCTAAACCAAACAAAAAAAAAAGACTGGAGCACAACTCAAAAAAGACCGCTTATGTCCAGTTTACTTCAATTGTACAGATTTTTACAGGACCAAGTAAGACATTATACTTGGTTCAGAAAACATAAGACAATTCCAGCAAAACAGCATGACTGACAAACGCTTCAAAACAAGGAGTGCTGAGGTATACCCTGCACAGAAAGGTACTGCTTTTAAATATTCTGTCTTCCATTCTTATCCCTCAAACTAGGCAGACAGGTTAGTTCACAGATCAGTTCAATGTATTAGAAAAAGAGATCTCACTCTCTCCCTAAGTAAGATAACACAAAACTTGAGAGGTTTGGGTTAGTTCTATTTTTGCCTGGTTGGTGGGGTTTTCTGGGTTTTTCTTGTTTCAGTTTTTAAATAACATGACCAAATAATGTGCCAATGGGACCAACATAGCTTATGGTCCCCCGCCTGATATTTCCACAGAGGGTAAGGGACTGAATTGTACAGAAATTATAAGTAGTCTATGGCATTAAAGCTATACAACTAAACTGAGCAAAGCAGGGAACAAACCTGAGAAGGAGGCTCTGTTATTTACACCCCTGAACTGCTAGTTCATTCCCTGATTGTTTTGGACTCTTGAGCTAGCATTATCCAAGCTAAGACTCCTGTAGGTAGGATGTATGAATGTGAGCCAATTAGTTACCCCTGGCTTCAAAGATGACAATATCCCAGACTATTGAATTAACCACTGAAGGCAAAATACGCTGAACTATGCAACAAGGCATAGCTCCTATTTGAAAGGGAAACAAACTGCTCTGTATAAACAAGCAAAAACAAATTGCAGAGATTAACATGTATTATATTACTAAATAGCTCAGAAACATTAGCAAGCTATTAGAGATATTTTCAAAACGGAAAATCAGGTGCATTGACTAATGTAACAAACACACAAAGTCTTAAGTTTGGGGTTTTTCTAATGAAAAAAAATTCAAGTAAGCTATGTTATACTGTACTGATAGATTATTTTATTTACTCCATCCTAAGGAAACTTACTAAGACAGGAAATGCTTCAATCACTGAGCCTTTTTCTGGTAAGGATGTAAATTTGTAGAACTCATGACTTCTGTATGCTTTTTGCTTCACAAGCTGAACAGCATGAAGCACAAACTTGGCAGTCACATCAGCTGAACATGAACACACTGTCACTTCTAGATTGAAGAAAAAGAAATTTAGTCTGAAGACAGAAGTATTTTAGAAGAAAAGCCGAGATGCACCAGAGAAACACTACTTTCACAAGCAATTTGTAATTTAAGAAGTCATGCAGTACTCCAAGTGGCAAGGAAAACCAGCTAAGTTCAAAAGGATGGTTACAGAGAAATACACCTTAATTAAATGGTCAAAATTAATCAGACAGTACAGATGTATCATCTGTATAGGCCAGATTGCTAAATTGCAAATTAAGAGTCTTATCACTAACTTCAGTCTGAATAAAAGATTTTTGGAAGGACTATTGTTTAGCAATCTCACAAAGAGAGACAAGGAAAAACCCCCTTTTTTTCCTTCTCACAAAATTATGAGTTTTTTACCTATTGTGAAAATCACATTTCTTCAATTATGACTTCTTTCAACACTACATTCAAACACCTTGAAAACTATGCAAGCCTCAGACAGTGATACTTTTCCATAAACATGGGGCATTTCTCCAGGTAGATGCAACCACTGCAGATTGTTATTGGCTGTTTTCTTTAAGACGGAATCAAGATCCTACTATACCAAAAACCGTGAAGTAACTCAAAATCACTCATCTAAGAGCTTAAAAAACAAACAAATATTTACATATTCATAGGCCAAAACCTTCAGTATTTATTCAGACAGAACTCAATATTATTTAAAACCAACTTTGTCAAGTCTGACAGATGCAATTTAGTTAATGTGGCTATTTTCCTTACCCGCCCATGTAGCTCCCTGGGGAACATCAATGAAGTGCCTTCGGATCTGACCAGGTTTAAAATGAACATCTGTGTATGTCAGGTCATAGCTTGATGATTCATCTACTCTGTATGTCAAAAGTAAAACACAAATATTAGTCAAACAAAATTGCAAAGCTATTTTGAAGCATTTTTTAAATGAAAAAAATACTCTAATATATGTACAATGAGGATATTTCGTCTTTAACACCAATTATATTAATCCTACTAATATAGAATCTGACAGCACAATGTATCTAAAAGATTTAAAATGTTAGCTCCACCACACTATGTAAATACCTTCCCCAAAGTTACAGTGCCTAAACAGAAAAATCACAAAATCCTCATTTTCAGTGGATCTGTTTTTCCTGGCCAAGTGAATTGCCACTGAAGTGAGCTAAGGTACAGAAGTAGCAATATTTCCATAAACAAATTGGGAACAGCTACTTTGTCTTTCCCCCTGAGGGTAGATTGTCCACCAAAGAGAATAAAATATTCTCCTTCCTTATCAACATCATTTAAGTCTTATGTTTAAACCAATGATGGGCACAATACCAACTCTAAACTCACTATATTGAAGTCATGATCAAAGCTTCTCCCAGTGTATACAATGGCCAAATAATGCCTTCTAGCTCTATGTACTCTACTTCACCAGGCAGAAATGAAAAACCAAACTCCAGCTGACCTACACATATGAACAGTACTTTGGTCAACAAGCCAGAAGGCACATTTATGCTCATAGACCAGGAAGCTGCTGCCACTGTGGTTAAGCCTACCAGGACACACTGCTGTCGTGACCAAAACTATAAAAAAATGTCACAACTACATAGGCCTGCTGTAAGAATCTTTTAAGGTGTTTGTAGAAAGTTCAGGAACTCTCAAGAGTTCTGGATTTACTTACCTTGTCGGTATAACAACAGTGATTGGAACTCTGAACAAAGGGCCTGCATTAGGCATTGCTGTATCATATCCACACACCTAACAAAATAAAATATAACAACTCAAAATCTTTGGTCGAAATCAAACTATAGAAGATAACATTCAACTTAAACCAGTTGCAGAATATTTTGAATCTTTGTAGTTGTCACTGAGGAGAAAAGGTCATTTGAGCACTGTCAAATGTGTAAAACACTAACAATCACTGAGGAAAAAGAAAAGTTATTTTCCCATTTTGACTCATTTCACCGGAGGAAAAATAACTTAATGGTCATTTAATTGGCTTCTGTTTTCTATATGCTGCTACCGGCATGTGCTATACAACATTGTATAGCCCAACTATTGCTGAACCCTGGCTCCATTCTGTATAGACAGAAATACATTGTGGCACTACTTTCTGCTCTGTAAAGCTCAAAGGTTTTATTTCTTTAAATATTATTTCTATAAAAAGTTGATAAGAGACCCCATAAGAACACACATGGGCACAAAATCTTGCTCGTAACACCAGTACTTCCATACCTCTGTATAATGTACTCCTCCACTCAGGCCACGTGGATCTACACGAATATTTATGTGTCGACACTGGTTCATGAGTTCTAAATGACTAGGACACTGGACCCATGGTGCATTTGAAGTTAAAGCTAAATGAAGCTGGAGAGATATTCTTTCAGTGTTTTCTGTCAGGAAACAAATTATAAAAAGCAATTCAATAACACAAACATGTGCGCATGTAACAGTATTTGCCATTAAAATACACATATTGAGAAAATATAATAGGAATCAATTCCTTATGGCCCCTGGATCTCAGATTCTGCACAAAGTGAGTGTTCTATATTCTTTTAACTTGACAAAAAAAGAATAGCAGCAGTAGGCAGTAAAATAAAGGTGGTATCCAACTTTGAAATTCTTCTCCCCTGAAACAGTCAAACCTGATAAAGCCAAAGGAAGGCAGGTAAACAAGGCTTCAGTTACCCATAACATAGTCTGGAAGAAGGTATAAACTTCCTTCTACAGATAAAGTGTTGCCTAACGCAGAGAAATACAATAAAAAGCAATCACATTGATTCTGAATGCTATGCTAATTACCAAACTACATTACAAAGCATAGTAAGCAAGAGGTAAAGTCTATTAAAATTACTATGATAATCTAGTAAAATTTTGCAAACAGTCAGTCTGGCATATTCTATAAATTAGTTTTTATGCCAAAAATGCTATACATTAAGGCACAGCTTCCAGAAAAGCTTCCTCCTGCCCAAAAGATTAATGACACTTTGAATTTTTTCTGTTTTAATTCTAATTAAGCTTATCTTAATTTTCAGACATTTCATCACATCTAGATTAAGCAGAGAAAAGAAACCTCTATTATAAGTACAGCAGAAGAAATAAAAGCTTGAAGCAAGCTTCAACAGACAAACTGAGCAATCAGACTCCCTAAACTCATATTTACAGTTTCTCAAACTTGGTTTTGTTGAAGACACCAGACAAAGCACAGAAATAACTAGGGAAAACAAGCACTAGGGAAAAAAAAACTAGGGGAACATCCACGAGCCGGTAATTCATTGCAAATGCCTGTTTTTAGATTGCTTATTTCCTGTAGCAGTCTAGTGAACAATTATTTTGTGCCACATGTTAAATTTAAAATGCACCGACAGCAATGTAATGCAAAGTCAAGCAATTAAGTTATTTGGGGTCAGTAACCTGCCCCAACTCATATCCCTCCTGCCCCTAAATAAACTCATCCCTTTGTCACATGCCAACCTTCTTGATGACCACTGGTTTAGGAAAGGAATAAACTTATAACAAGCTCTCATATGGCTCCCTTTTTGAATACAACGTAATTCAGTCTCTCAGTGAGTTCCAATTTTTACTAAATGAAGCAGGGCAAAAGGGTTTGTGGGAAAAAAAGTTACATCTTATTTTCATCTGCACAAATTATTATGGCTTTTTGTTTCAAGTTGACATTTGTATTTCTCTGCATCTCCACCTACAAAAGCTCTTTCCTACCTGTATTCTCAGGAAAGACAGGTTCTATGCCAACCCCATGATCAGATGGTGCCACTATCTGGGCTGGATCTCTGAGGTAGATTCCACGGTTGCTGCCGACAGTAACTGTGAAGCCGATGTTACTTGTGAATGATGAATTCTGAATGAGGTAGTCATAGGCTTTATCAACCTATGTCAGAAAGAGCAAGTTCAAAATTAACAAATTTCAACTTAAGAGCAATTTATGCATATTTTCTTCAATATGAAGTATTTAGCTAGCACAGCAACAAACAATGAAGTACCTCACATGCTACCTGAGCAACATGTGATTGCATGATACTCAGAAGAGAAAATGATGCAATTTTCACAATCTGCAATAGCCACTGAGAGACCAGAAAGCCAAGAACATTTGAAAAAACAAACAAGGCTGAGCCTCTTCTGCTATAAATCCATAAAAAGATTCCTATTCAGACATGACTTTGAAGAAGAGGACTTCAAGGCCCAAACCTACTATTCTAATTTAGGTGACTTTTTCACAGGTGGAGCAACACTATTATACGATAAGAGGTTGAGCAATTCAAAGGAGACAGGCAATGGAATACAAGGTTGAGCAATTCCAAGGAGACAGGCAATGGAATACCCATACAAATCTCATATATTGATATGAAGTAAAAGAATCGGGTAATGAAATCCAGTTCTGGGTCTAAGTACGTGAGCTGTCACAATAAATTCACATAACAAATTCAACTTCGTGTTTTAAAAAGATACCCTTTCCACCTCACTTGCTATTTTACTGACTACAAATATCTTAAAATTCTCTTCTACTTGATAGCAAGGTACTTTCACCAGTGAAGATTTGTCTCCTTTGAGACAAGTGGACAAATTCCTCGTCTCCAAGATCAATTATAATCACATTTTAACACATAATTTAGTCACAAGCTACTAAAACATCAAACATGATTGGTGTATTTTATTTTTCCTTTGATATGGCTATCACCACTGCGGCTTTCTGTATCAAACTCAGCATTACAGATGTGCTTAACAGGCATTGCCTACTACGTCTAGCATCTCCAGAACATGAATTTTGGGTTAAGCATTTAATATCTGGCATTTTGAAGCACAAAAGAAAAATCTTAGTACTTCTATTAGACTAGGACAGGAGTGACTGTAGGAAAAAAACAGGGCCAGCTCTGTAAGAACATAAGCTTATGCACAGGGAGACACTCAGTAAGCCTTTATCATACAGAGGATTACATCACAGATTTCCAAACTACTCCGACGTCCACAGGAAACAAAGAGCATTCAGACTGTTTAGCACAGGCCTGCAGCAAAGTCCCTGTACAACTGCAGCTGTACCAGCTGTTTTCACTGCCCAGAATTTACAGTCCCAGCTTTTGTCTGGACAGAATAAGTTCAGCTGTCTCTGACAATACTGAAAAACCCTTGTGGACATTCGGACAGAATTTAGGTGCCCATGTGGTGCCTAAATTCACGTGCAGGTGATAAAAACCTACATCCCATTTTTATGTCCATGTATCTTTTTGATCAGCCTAAGACTGTGTCCAGTTATCACATTTATTTTACAGTAACTGCATGCTAAAACTGGAAGAACCTTCTCATTCCTCCTCCCCGCCCACTACATTCCCTTCCTGTCCCCCAGTGAGATTTGAGAATCAAGTAGTATGGAACAAACTGAGTGAGATCATCTCAAAAGCTGTTTTGTGGGTTAGTTTTTCACCACTGTTTTTTTTTTTTTGGGGTTTTTTTTTTTTTTTTTGCTTTCAAGTACCTGAATAATACCATGTCCTTGTGCAAATACTTCTATGTTTTCAGCTTTCACTGCAGTATTTTCCAATGCTCTTCTAACAGAATGAACAGTGTAATGAACATTATTAGCTTTGAGTCCTGAAATTAAAATTAAGAGTGTTACTGAATATAAGAAAATATTTGAAAGTGACAGCATTTTTTTAAGAGGAAGAAGTATCTAACCTCTTTTAGATGATGCATCTATGTTTAACATTGTAGCATTTTACCTGACAATACTAATGCAATGCCTCCACATGCATTGGGAGAAGACATGGATGTGCCATTCATGAGTTGTGTTCCTCGCAGAGTCCAGTTTGGAACTGAAGCAATAGCACCTCCTGGGGCACTGATACTTACTCCAAGGGCTCCATCAGTGCTAGCATTAAAAAGCAATGGTTAAAACACCAACTTTTTTTTTTTTTTTTTTGCACAATTTAAGATAAAGTTGTCAGTACTTTTTTAAAACAAATTTACTTTAGAAAATTCTCACTACATTTTACTTCACTAAATCCATTGACCCAATAAACCCAAGAATAAGCATGCCACCAACTAAGAATTTAAAATGTCATGTTAATCATCAGCTGTGCCTGTTTTACAGTGAGAGGTTTCTAAATTTTTACTCCTTCAGTATTTTTCACCAGGCTTGAGTTTAGCCAGGAGAATACTTTCTGGGATTTGAATTACAAAATGCACATAAACCAACCTGTTAAACACTTCAATAAATAAATTAGCATTCCATGTAGCCTATTCAATGGTTATTACTTCTAAAGAAAAATAGTTAAAGTGGGAGGAAGGCTAGAAAAGATCCAAAACCTAGACTTCTAATTTTTCATGCTGACAGTTCACTACCAGGTCAAGTTTTGAATTGACAAGCCTGTGACAAGAGAACAAGGGGAGAACATATAAAGAGTTATGTCAAGAGGTAGGTCAGGATCAGCTGGGCCTGATCCCTAAACTCCACAAGCATATTTAAGAACGGAGCAATTGTGTGCCTATGGCAGAGTTAGAGTAGCATCTAGTTTTCAACTCTATGAGCCAGATATGCTCCATCTTTCTTGCTCTGGATAGACAAAAATTGCACTGCTTAAATAAGGATACCCCTGTGTCTGAGTTATTAAGTTCTGCAGAAAGGCAGGATATTTTAGGTTACTTATATCCCACAGTAAGAGCTTCATATGTCTAAAATCTGTCTGAACTCGGAATATTCTGAGTATGCTACTGCAATGTGATATTTGGACATATTTTATGACAGCCGTATATAAACCCATAAAAAGGTTCTGCAGCCCAACACCTCTGGACAAGCAGTGCACAGCACTGCCTGAAAGCCTCTACTGCTTTCTGGGACAGACTGATCCCTGCATCAAGACTGCTCTAGCAAACTTTAGGAACTCTCTAGTCATCTGCATATTGCCCCCTAAACAAGGAGAATCCTCCTTTGACCAGATTTGGTCTTTCAGCTGATTATTTTACACAGCACAGTGACTAAGCACACAAAAAGTGATCTATATATGTGTGCGTGTGTGTGTGTCTATCAAGATTTATTACAAATCAATCTCCCTTCCTCAGCTGAAAGCAGAGAGCACATTTCTCTTTTCCCTACACAAAACATGACAATCCTTCATATTAAGATTCTTGAAACAATATATTTGCCTGTAAACATACAAACACCATAACAGCTAGAGACCAATTCCCAAGTCTGAACACAGGCAAGAACTCAAGAAGAGATGTTGCTATTTTTTTTCTTTGTCTATCATATTACTCTCAGATGATTCTGAGAAATGAAATAAAAATTGGAGTTTACATTGTCCTTAAAATTTCTTTAACACATTTCAGAAAATTTTCTGTAGCATAAGGTAGAAAGCAATTTTTTCTGCCTACTCACACCTCTACTGAACTCAAAACAAAACCCTCAAGTTATACCGTCGCAGCAATGTTACTGAAGCCAGAAGTAACACCACTGCATTAACAGTATTTATTTTAATCTTCATCACTTATAGCACATTTAACTTCACCACACTAACTCAATGAAATAAATGCTATAGAAAAAAGTAAATTAAAAAAACACAAGCAAATTTCCAAACAACCTTTCCGTAACTTTTATAATCTTTGACTAGATCTACACCCAAATACTTTTCTGAAAAATATAAGGCTGTGCTGAGGCGGTTTGATGCTATTCCCTCTACTCCATCAGTTCTAGATCCCAACATACAAAGGTGTAACCAGAAGAGCAGGCTAGTTATGCTCTTTCCACAGGAAAGAAATACTTTCATTTTGCTATTAGTGACCAGTTTTAGATTTTGAGTTTTATCACCTGAACTACAAAGTAATCAATTGTTCTTGGAATATAACCTACCTAGGCCCTCTGGATGACCAAGTGTACTGATTGGCTGGCAGTTTTTCTCTCAAAGAGTATTCAGCAACCATCATGTCAGGTGACACGTAGGCACCAACACCTGCAAAAAACATTCAAACGTTTTAGATGTAATATGAAGTTTTATTAAGAACTAAAGCAAAGTGCTTCTTTATGAGAAGAATTCTTGCTTGACATTTAAAATGGTAATACACATTTTCCAGCTCATAAAATCCAGTTATTTTTGCAAGCCAAGTGCAAAGCATCATGTTATGCAGTAACAATGATGATGGGCACACTGCATAACAGTAAAATATCATGCAAACTCCAAGTTTCACTTTTATTCCGCTGGAATATAACCTTCTACACTTTTCCCAACAGGTAACTTGTATGTGTCTCCTGCACCCCTTTCCTCTGTTTACACTGCTCTGGCACAAACTACAACTGCACGTCAGAGCAATCCACGAGAATTGGTTCATGTTCACAAGGCTCCCATTTACACTCCCTGGAGCAAATGGCCATATCCACATATCTCAGTCAGGAGACAGTCTTTACTGGGTACCAGTTTCAAGTACACAGAGTTTGTAAATGTCTACATCAAAGCCCAGTAAAAAAGCATTTGTAGAAGAGAATGCCAAGGATGCACAGTGCAACTATGATTTTGCTTACAGCACAAGCACTACCACTGTGGTACAAAACTACATACCAAGCTGACAAATTTGGCAAGGTCCATGTCCGTCTGTGTGAACTAAGCCAACCTGTCAGCTGTATTTTGCTTTACCCTCAAAAACCAAAAACTCTATCTGGTTCACTCCAGATGGAGGACAGCAGCAAACTACTTGGCCTGCAGAGTGAATAATCACCCAGTCTCTAGAGTGACACAACGAAGTTGAATTGACAGAGTAGATGCACTGTAAGAGTAAAGCCACTGCAGACCTGAAAAGAGCTTGTTAGTTCCAGTTCCAACCCCCAGTCTCAATAGTGAATTAACAGCAGATTAACTTTCAGAAAGTAATCAGCATTAATTCTACTAGCTGCCCTGGAATAGCAGCTCTCCAGCTTCCAAGGCTTCATGCTAGTCTCCTTAAACACTGGTCTCCTTGCATAAGAATTCTGACGCTTAATAAGCATCCTCTGTAATGCAGTAGCGAGACAATAAAGGATTTATATAAAAATTAAGACTAAGGAAGTTACCCCTGCATGCTGGACATTTTGCTGAATCTTATAACTCAATCTTTCACTAAAATATCAAAACCATATATTAGTCCATCAGAAAAAGAATTTTAATGACAATAATAGACTTGCACAGCAGTGGCACTGCAGCCAGAAAAATTCCTCCCCTACAAGGACTTGTCTAGACCCTAGCATGGGATTATTTTCTATCCATATTAAAAACATCTGCTTCATTAAAAATAAGAGTATCTGATGAAGACAGATGATAAAAAACTGTAGTTCTGACAATTTAAAATGCATTGCAATACTTTCCAGAAGACTTATTAGAATCCAATTTAGAATCATATTTTCATATGTTGCATTTACCAGCAGCTATTTGTTGGAGCAAAGCAGTAGCTTAGACAGTTACAGTTGAAAAAGTATTCCTGAAATATTCAAATAAGTCAAACCAAAGATTTCTTTTGCAAATTTTACACAAAGCCAAATTAAATCAAGACCATTTGCCACCTACTACTTTTCTACATATGTAAGGTTTTGAATTGTAAGAAGATAACAATCTAAATTTGTATACCTAAGCATCGAGCAAGTGCCTCTCTCAGAATTAACCTTGCAGCTCAGCAGGCAATTTTTTAGACTTAGTTCAGCAATCAAACATGCAACAGAAAAGTTTGAAAAGGCAGAAGCTGTCAAAAAAATTCTAAATTAATTATTTACCTATTACACTAGATGTAGTTCCACCAGGACATCCAACTGTAGAAAGGCAAGGACCATTATTTCCTGCACTTGAAACATAGATTACATTGTGTTTCCACACTGCTTCATTAATCACTTCACAAATTCTCCTGAAGTAAGAGAAAGAAATCAACCATTTACTCAACAATATTGCTTTCTTCCACAGGACAAAGCTCCCATTTTTAGTACAACCTTTGACCACCCACCAAACAAGGAAGCTTATGCAGCCTGCTTCCCACACCTAGCAGAGGCGGTTCCAGTACAGAAGCTGACCACAAAAATATCTTCTGGTTTCAAAAAGGAGAGAAAACTATGTAGTGATCCTAGGTCTTAAAAAAATACCCCACACATCATGTGGTGTTGCAACTATAAAAGTTCTTTATTATGCTAAAATATTATTTGTATAAGTGTTATAAATCCATGTATGATGTATCTGTATATATATTATAAATTAAAAGCTTTTTCAATGGTTTACTTCTTTCAAAGCCAGTTTAAAATTTATACTGCAGAGTTTCTAACTTATGAATCATGTGAGCCTGGATGATAGCTACTAGCTGATTTACAGAAAACTCAACAAATACAATTCCACCTCTGTGAAATTAAAATACTTTAATCACAGTACTACTCACCCAGAATTTGGCCAGTGTGTTGCTTCTCCATAGCTGTAGTTGACAAGATCACATTTGTATTTTATTGTTTCTATCATCTGATAAAGTAAAAATGGAAGTCAAAATATGTGCTTGTCAAAGAATTAAAGTGACTTCAGGAATGCCAGAAAGCATCTGCTTAAATTTATTTGCTACATATCTAAGAAAGACAGATAAATCTCTTGAATCTAGAAAATAATTTACTGCAGCCAGAAAAGTGCTATTTTCCCTAAGAACTAAGAAACCTCTTTCCTGAAAAGCCTTATTCTTGCCATGTTCCCAGTTATAAATCAAAACATTGCCCTAAGAGAAAACTGCAGACAGCACCAGTATTATCTCAAGAACATAAAATTCTCCTTTCCTGTGCAGTTTGCCTGAACTCCAAAAAGTTGCAAAAAAATTATTGTTCATGTTGCTACAGCAAAATATCCCTATGGATCATAAACATAGTCCTCTATTTTCATATCCTTTTCTTGTGTAAAATTTTTCCTTATCAACTCATTATACAGAAAAGCTCTTGGTCTTTCACCACTAAAAGGAATTATATTTTTCCTCACTCTTAAGAAAAAATGTTTACACAAATACAGCAACATAGGTAGATACTTGTCTTCTATAGTTATCTGAGTAACTATAAAAGATGCACTGAAAACACAAAGAACTTTAAGCAAGTTGGAAGTAATTTCTGTCATGCATCAAGTCAGTCAGACACTGCAAGTCTGTTAGCCTGGAGATCTCCAAGTGCTCTATGCAATGTAAGTTTTGTTTTAAATAAAACACTAGTCTTACAATATGCTTTAAAATATATTTCTAGTTATTTTTAGGGGTTTTGGCTGTGTTATTTATTGCTTGAAGGTTTTTTGGTTTTTTTTGCGGGGATGGCATTGTTGTTTTTTCTTTTTTTTTTTTGTATTTTTGCTGGAAATACTGTAAAACCATAAGCCAAAAAAGCAGGGCATGAAGTTTCACAATATTCTACACTTAAGACACACTACTGAGATTAATCATTCAGTGAAATACCCACAGCTCTTATTAGACCAGTGCCAGTTTCCATTGTACTTAGTCTTGTATCACCAATCTTGATTGCAAGAATCTGAGCTCCAGGAGCCACACCATTTCGTTCTGGTTCTTCTGGAAAGTATCCAGCTGCAATACTAGCCACATGCGTTCCATGTGCTCCTGTGCAAATGAAAAGTATGTATTTTTAGTGGACTTAATCTGTAAGAATTCAATATGCTACAGTTCAATTAATTTTAACTTATTGAGCTGTAAGCACATAAATCCAGGCAGTAGCCAGTCACCAGTGCTACTGATACCAAAAGGGTGATAGTGTTCACCAGGACTCAGCAGTGGAGCCAACCCTGTTTAATATTTTTTGATGATCTGGACAAGGGGATTGAGAACATCCTCAGTCACTGTGCAGACAACAACAGACTGGGCAGGAGTGCTAATCAGCTGGAGGACAGGAAGGCTCTACAAAGGGATCTGGACAGGCTGGATCAATAGGGTGAGGCTAATTGTAATTTTAAGGAGAGACAGGCATCAGGAAGAGAGGAATAAAGAATTAACTTAATTACACTAACTGAAGTTACTTTGAAGGCTAACACTTCCTACTCAAAGTTATGAATACTACACCTGAGACAACTCAGGCAGGAAGGATTAAGAACAGAAGACAGAACTGTACAGAAACATAGAAAGGAACATTTCAGAAAAGTTACCATCTATTTAGAAACCTGAACAGGCTATGTAGCTCTACTGAGATGGGATAGTTTCATGAGGAATTAGGAGCATTTTTCAAAGCAAATGCATCCATACCATCTCAACCACTCTGTCTGCTTCCAGAACAAACCATGACTATTTAAAGAACACTCTAAAACAGGTTCAGAGTGGTTGGAGCTACAGCTATAGTGACACCTGACGTAACAAAAAGAGTCTGCATTAACCTAAATAAAGATCAATACCCATTTTGTTCATGGATACTATATTTAAGACTCTTAAAGTATAAAAGTACAAAGGAGAGCATCTACAAATAAATCAATCATGCCGCTAATATTTAACAAACAAAACAAAAAAGGTCTTTTAAAAGAAGATTCTCTTTAGTTTAGGCTTTAAGATGCATGTACATCTTAAAGAATACCCAAGTATGCACGTTCTATGTATACAAGCTTATGTGCATAAAGTTGACAATACTTCATACAAAAATGCAAGCAAGTTTGGTAATGAGCTGTAATTATAAATTTAGTTCAGGAAATATGAGTATTGATCTTAAAAGTCATAATAACAAATGCTGTACTATGACAGCTGCCTCAAGCCATCCCAAGTAGCAGAAACAGGACCCAATACAAATTACTGTTTCTCATAATATCTACTTAGCAGCAAAATGTTTTTAAGATTATTTTCATTTACCTCCACTTGTCACAATGGAAAGGAGATTTCCATCATCATATATATTCACAGAATAATTCAACATCTCAGATGTCCCAAAAGATCCATATTCCTGAGCCTCTTTGTAGGTTCTCAGCACTGTACAGTTAGTTAAATCACCACTCTCACTGGTATCTATGCAGGCTCTGTTGACAAAAACAAACAGACAATGTCCCAGCTGCTGCAAACGTTTGGTTACCTACCCTCTCTAGCTGAGCATAGCAAAAAGACTTCAAGAAGTTTGGTACTGTGTTTATGGTATCTTTAAATAGTTCTTTAAGCAACTAATTTAAAACTTGTTTTTTTAATGCTTAAGATTCAGAAAGTATGAAGTTATCGAAACAAACTGATTTTCAAATACTACTAAATTCAAATCAATCTGTATTTGAAAAGCAGGAGTATGAAAATTCATGCAAGTTCAAGGAAGAATTTTTTCTAAAAGTCCATGTTCAGGGCTGGTACACAAACATTTAAAGTTTTCTGTTTTGTATGAAGCACATGATCAGTAAAGAAATGCGCCATGTTACATCCTGAAGTCTGTGCACAGACACCTGTTTTGTTTAATTCACATCACCACCAGATAGTCAAAACAGTTTTATTCTGCTTCAGAAGAAAAATCCTGTAAACGTACACTCATATCACACTTATCTTCAATAAGACTTTATTCTGTCCCATCTTCATTTGAGACCAAAATTTTGTCAAGAAATTCAACTGATACAGCAGGATTATTTTAAAGTGAAAAATACTTAAAACCTCTATAAAGAGGGTAGATATAAAAAGTAACAAGTCTTCAATGCAAGCTACTGTTTTATGTAAAGAACAAGACATTTTAGAAAAGTTTAGCCATTTACCTCCAAGTCTCACCATCATACCACACTACACAATCATATACTGGGCCCGGATCACTGTATTTCTTCTCAAAAGAATTCAACAATTCCACTTGATTTTGAAGTTCTTCCTTTATTAGCTTATTTATCTAATAAGGCAAAAATAAATTCAGATTATTTCAAAAATTATTACAAGATAGGTAATCTTGTATTCTTTCTACTGCTATACATTTTTTCCACTACCTTCCCAGGAATGTTAGACTATCCTAGGAGTCACAAACATCTACAAGTTCAATGGCTTTCAACAGTGCACTATTTATTTATGGCCTATTATATACAACTACTTCTAATTTCTGTAAATGTAACACTTAAAGTCATTATTTTCTTAAAGACTGTTAAATGATAAAGTAGTATCTGAGGCATTTCTGGTACTTCATTGAAATAGTACCTCGTTTACAAAGGTAAGAAGAATATGTTTAGAAAATTCAAGCTTTGAACATGGAAAGGATGGTGGCCTCAAAACATAGCACATGAAATTAAAAATAAAACTCACTGAAAATACCCAACAAATTTTTTGAAGCAATACCATTTTCATATTTGACACCAACTCTCAAAAGTGAGCAACACTAAGCAAACCAAACAACCATGAATATAAAGACTTATAAAATTAATCAGAAGATACACTGATTGGTAAATTATCTGCCAAAATACTCACAAGTACCTTTCCTTCACACATATAATTAAACATTTTAATCCTGTCAACCAGTAACAAACTATTGCAAAGAACAAGTTCATAAATTTAGACTTAAAGCAAACCTGTGAGGGAGAGCTATGAGCAGCATCGAATTCTTCTTGTTTCCTACAGGCCTCTGCTAGAGCCAGTCTATGAGCAGGATCCCAGAGCTTTTCCTTGCGCTCTTTCTGCAAAATAAAACAGAGGTTCCCCAACATACTGAGTAATGTATGTCAAAGTTGAAGTCTATAAAGATAATTTGGAAATTCTGATTTGACATGAAGGCTAAAAAAGTTCCATACAATAGTATAAATAAAGTGCCACACAATAAAAAAAAGGGGTATCAGCAATTTCTGTACTTCTTGTCTCAAAGGACCACTGTGAGGAAGACTTCTAAGCCACCCCCTATTGCTCTGAAAAAAAATCACAAAAGAAATGGAATGAATAAAAATCAGAGAGAATAGTGTTCAAGTATGTTAGCAAATCACAAGCTGTAGTATTCTAACAAAATTAAGAAACAGAACTGTAAAATATGACTATATGTGGGAATCCAGGGCTTCCCTCTGGCTGCCCTGGCAGGTCTGGGACCCTTGCAGGGGTCAGAAACCCCCCTGTACAGAGCCCTGAGAGACACTGTCTGTGATCTCTGTCCATGGAGAGGAGTTTTCAATCTTACAGGATGAATTACAAGCTCTGAGTGTTTGATATCAGCAATAATTAAGTGTGACACGGGTGCAAAAGTAAAATTTTAAGTTTCTAGATTAGGGGTTCAGAGGGGACAAGATGGAGGAATTGGGTGTGTCTTGTCCTTTTCCTCCTTCTTCATGCCCTCCATGTTTCACTGTAGTGTTGGCATTTTTCTACTGGTTTAGGCTGGGGACACGCTGTTCAACGTAGATGATAGATATTGGCACATTATTGTAAATATAGCACACGTAGTTTCTGGTATATAATGTTTGTAACATCCCACTGAGGGCAGAGCCCCGCACGCTGCCCTGCAGGACAGACCTGCGGCAGGGCAGCAGAACATGTTAAAGATAAGCAAGAATAAACAACCTTGAAAACAGCACAGACAAATTATGGCTTCTTCTTTGGCAACGGGGCAGAAAGACAGAGACTTTCTACAATCTCGGAATCACCAATACCCACAGATTCCGACAACTATATACCAGAAAGAAAAGATAATTAACCCTTACCTGAATCCTCTCCTTAAGAGCTTTAGGATAGATATCATAGCCATTTTTTATGCCAATGTGATATTTGCCTGAAGGATTTATCCAGTTTGCTGGAATCTATAGAAAAGTAAATTTAGAAATAAGTTACCTAATGGTTAAAATAACTCCTCAAACAAAAAAGCCCCACACTATGTAAGAGAGCTTAGGAGAACAAATCTGCAAATATTGTCAATTTAATTCCCTGTCTCCATAACAGTAAATACTGCACTCTTCCAACAACATGGCATGGCATTTTCAATCCAGCTCCCAAAAAATCAGTACCAGTTCATGTGACACTGCCATTGAACAGCTTTAAGCATTAGTTGCTCTGATAATCTACTTTTAAAACACAAAGCCCCAGCTTCACTAAATTTCCTGGGCAGAGGTCTGGGGAAATTATAGTACTACAAGCGAAACGTAATATGAGCGAGTATGGTTGGAAGCCGTGGCATACATCTGAACATCTCATTTCACATCTTGATACAATTTAGACTCTGTATATCAGGATCCGCTCATCCACTAGAGTAACAGATTCAGCCTTACAATCATCTTCTGTGCAAAATTAAGAAGAAAGCCGACAGCATGGAGAGACAGAAAGATGTGATGCCCCCATATTACATCACAAATCCAATCAGGAAATCAAGAACATGTTAGCAACATTAGTTCTGTGTACTCAAGACCTCTACTGGATTTCATGTCCTTTCTGGAAGCCCTACAGCATTTCTGTTCTATGCATAGTGAGAATTCAGTGAGTCTACAGCTAGGTCTTCACAGATTTTTCAGCCTCTAAATCTATTCACCACGAGCTTAACACAATTCCTCTTGTAGCTTACACAAATGTGGAAAATACTAGCACTTTTAAAGACACTACCACGTCTGGTATTTTTAAAGCACGTTAGCACATTTTCTTCAGCCAATTTCCAAAGCTGTATCAGATACTGTTTTGAACAAATAGTTGAATGATTATCAAGCCCCCCAAAAAGCCCTGTGCAAACCCCTATTCAGCTACAGAACATATTAGAAATAAAGACATACAAAAAGTGTAAAAACCACTAAGCAATCTGCATGAAGATGAGAATGAAGCATTAGGTTTGGGTAAGATCTGGTTAGCAGGTTCCAGCTGGGCTAGGGGTGATTTTCCTCACAATAGCTGATATGGGGCTGTTTTGGATTTGTGCTGGACACCCTTAATAACTCAGGGATGTTTTAGCTGTTGCTGGGAAGTGCTTGCACAGAGTCAAGCCTTTTTCTCTCACCCATCCCAAACAGTGAGCAGGCTGGAGATGAACAAGGATTTAGGAGGGGACATAGTTGGGACAACTGATCCCTACTTGACCACAGGCATCATGATCAGTATATAGAGTTGGGGAAAGAAGGAAGAAGGGGAGTGGTTCAGAGTGATGGCATTTATATTCAAGTCACTATTTGTGTGGAGCCCAGCTTTCCTGCAGATGGCTGAACACCTGCCTGCCCAAGGGAAGTGGTGAATGGATCCCTTGTTTTCCTTTGCTTGCATGCAAGGCTTTTGTTTTACCTATTAAACTGTCTTTATCATCTCAACATGTAAGTTTTCTCAATTTCACCCTTCTGATTCTCTTCTCCCCATACTGTCAGGGGAAGGCTGAGTGAGAAGTTCTATGGTGCTTAGCTGCCAGCAGGGTTTAAACCACAACATCTGATTAAAAGGAAGTACCTTCTGTAAAAACCAAAACAGATGCTAAATTTTCTGTTAACCAAAGAAGATGTTCAGTGGTTTCTCTGTACCACCAAATACTCACTTTTAAAGTTCTTCCAGAAAGACCAATAATTTCTCCATCTTTAGGTTCTGCAATGGTACATGTTGTTACATCACCACTGCCCGTAGTGTCAATTATATCAATTATCTTCGGTTTCCCATCAGTTGTAATCTGAAAATATGAGCACAGAAAAATTGGAAAATGTACTTGATTACATTTTAGTACACAAACCAGGAAAGTTTTGTTATTAAAAATATCAACTAGCTTTTTTAGACACCCAATCTTTAACTGAAGAAAATAAAACCAACTTGAACACAAGATACATTTTCAAAGAACTAAGACCAACATGTCCCTCTTTCTGGTTCATACAAAATTTCTAATAAAGATTTAGAAGAGAAAAAAGTAAAAACATTGTATCAACAAAGCACAGGCAGCCTCAATCTAAAACCAAGCCTAAATTTGCAAAAACCATATTTGCAAGAATTACTATTTGTTTTCATATTATTTGCTGTGTTATTTGTGACCCCTCATTCTGGATAAATTTTATAGTAATGAGTGCACCAGTAAGAAAATGACAGGTACTGAAGTACAAGCTCTTACAAACTGGAATCTCTCAACTGAGCTTAAAGGAACCATAAAAGGGACACAAGTTACTATTACCTTATTTTTCCTGTTTCAAAGACTCTTCTATGTGTTTTAATCCACTTGAACTGTTAGTAGCTACAGCTACGTACACCTAATACTTCTATAAGGAGTCTGGAAAGATGTTACAGAAGCCTCCCAGAACCTAAAGAGGGCCTATAAGAAACCTGGAAGCAACTTTTTACATTACACAGGTAGTGGTAGGACAAGGAAGAATGGCTTTAAACTAAAGGAGACTATCAAACTAGTTATAGGAAGAAATTTTTCACTGTAAGAACATTGAAACATTGGAACAGGTTGCCCAGAGAGGCAGTGGATGCCCCACGCCTGGAAACATTCAAGGTCAGGTTGGATGGGGTTCTGAGCAATCTGACCTAGTTGAAGATGTCCTTGCTCCCTGAAGGCAGGTTGGACTAGGTGGCCTTTCAAAGTCCCTTCCAATCCAAACCATTCTACGATTCTATGAATTGAGCATGTACACATATTTTTACAGTTCTTTAGCAAAGACTGGTTTAAAAAAAGAAGGTATCAACCATCTTCCTAATATTTCCTATACATGAACTACATTGAAGGTGAAAAAAGCTTCATATTCAGAAAAGCGGCAACATTTGCTGTTTTCTACCATTAAATATATGGCACTTTTGCCTTTATTCTCTATCAATAATTTTGATGTTAGACATAATATATGGAAGGTTCTTTTGTTCCAATAATGTTCTGGAATTGTGAATTCAGCTACTGAAAGCTACTGACATATTCAAACTGTGTCATAAAAGTCACTCTGCTGCTGCCAAAAGGACAAGAGTCAGACTCTTATCACATCTCAGCAAACAAGGATAGGTACTTCCATGGCCTCAAATTCATGGCTTAAAAAAAGACAAACAACAAACATAAACCCAACCAAAACCATACAACCCAAAAAACAACCTCCTAGAAACTCAACAACAAAAAACCAACCCTGAAAATTAACAAGCAACATCCCCAATGAAAACAGGCTTAAACAGCTTAAATATAAATATTCCAAACCCATAGCAACCATAAAAACAGCATCAATTTAATTTCCCAGACAGTAAAAAATACTGCTTTTGAATAGGCTTGCTAGGGATGAACTTTCATGGCGAAACCAACACTCTGTTCATAGAAATTCAAGTTCACTGGAGAAAATCTTTAGAGTATCTAAATCTGGTAAAACATCAACTGAACGACAGTTACACAGCAGTGAAAATTTACTTGGGGAAAATGTGTAGACACTAAATCATACACTTTTCAAGCATTTGTAATTAATATCTTCAACGTTGACCACAATTCACACAAAAGAGCTGCTGCAATACTAAAGCAACTGCAAGCCAATCCTGATATTAGCAGCACTGGACATTCTTCAGTATGACTCTACTCAAAGTAAACTATTCAGTCATCAAAGTACAAGGAAACAAGAACGAAAATGTAATCCAAGGTGACTTATACAGCAACAGGTGGCCAGAACACAGATTTATGCTGCAGAAAGCTTGGGTAGTTTTAGAAGTTGTTTCCTAGCCTGATAGACAAGGTGCAACCCCTACCTTCTATGGCTCTCTGCCTCCTAGCTGAAACCTAGCAGGCCCACACATGCATGTGAGTTTGTACTGTCATAAGCAACAGATCAGTCTTTCAGTCAGACACAAGAAACTCAGAGTTTCAGCTGGTCTCAGGCTCAATTCCTAACAGCAGCAATCCAGACAGGTTCACGGTAATTCAGTGCAAGTAACCGATACAGCAGCTCCTGCTGCCATGAACTGCTCTTCGGCACACTGCCCACCAGCAGCAAGGCCAGAGTGAAACTTAAGAGTTCAGCTCAGTTTTCTTTTGCAAATCTTTTAATTCTGAGTTTAAAATTATAATAAAAAATACTCAAGTGACCTTGATCAATTTTCTTATGCAAAGAGAAGAGTCCTGAAGTAATTAATTGATTACAGACAGAAGGCACATTCTAGTACATTTTGCATTAAAATTTAAAAAAAAAGAATTTTTATTCAATTAAAAATATTTTATACTGTGTTCAGAAAAAAAATCCCCAATCCTGCCTTAATTATTATGGCTTGCCTATAGGCATTTGTAAAACAAATTATTAGTTTAAAACTGAAAACTACTTTGCTGTTTATACATTTCTGCTTGAAGTTTTAAAATCCTACTTACATGTTAGTTCTGACTTTGTAAAGCAGATATATTAGTAAACTGAGAACACTAAAATTAATCTATGTGCATAATCCTGGCAACTGATGCAAGTTATAATAGAAGTCGAGGAGCACCAGTAACTATCACAATCACAACACAAGAAAAAGGAAAGTCAGAAGCATTTTAGCATGTTTTTGCCAGCCCATACAATCACTGACTCCAATTGACAGCTACCGCAGCCACAAGAGGTGAACAAGTTCTTCAGCACTTTGGTCACGGGACAGCTGATCATCATCATCATAAATAAAATAACTTCCAAGCAATTTTTTTTAACTCAGTGCTGAAAAGCAAGTAAAACCAAACTAGCTGCTACTGCTAAAAAGTTGTCACATAAAAGTATAAGTTAATGTTAGTAAATAATAATTCTAAATGCCACTTCACAAAATAAAACAAATTTGCAAGAAGCGAAATGAATTGACTTACCTATCATAAAACATAAGAAACCATAACAGGAACAAGGAAAGGGAAAAGCACAGGGAAGGGCTGAACAAAGATTATACATATACAACCACAACACACCATTGAATGCACCTAAAATTTCATCAGTCACTGTGCCTTAATGAGTAATTAGAAACAGTGACTCGGCAGACAGTAGGAAATACATTCTACCAAGAGGACTGAAAGAGGAAAATCTCATACGAAAGAAGCAGACAAACAAAACTTTACAATTGGTGTCAACTGGTGGAAAAGCAATGGAAGAGGAGGTAGAAGGAATTCCCTAGGGGGTACTGGGTTCCCTAGGGAAATTCCCTAGGGTTACAAAAAATTCATAAAGAAAAGGAAAGTAAATACAAACTAGATTAACATTTTATGCGTTAAAGAAAGCCAACCAACAGACAACAGGCCTAAGAAGGTTTTGTTAATTATTCTCTCTACAGCAGCAAGCATCCAGGGAAGAAAAGAAACATAACGATATTTCCCTGTTAAACTCTGTCCCTCAAAAAGGGAACAAACAGTGCCACCAATGTTTACAAACCAAGTCAGAGAATCAACAAACAAAGGAACCCTACTCAGGAATGAAACACAAGGGAGCAGCAAAGAAATTAACTGTTTTGTTCTGACTAAGAACTCCACTATATTCAAATCAGGGTAGCTCATTTTAGCCTGTAATAATTATTGTCATTAACCAGAACTCAAAGTTGTAATACTAATTAATCTTGCTATAGGTTTGCAACTGATTCAACATCTCCTAGATCTAACTCTATGCCAGGATCTGACAGTAAGAAAAAGCAGCAGCAAAGACAGGGGTGTAAAAAAAAAAAAAAAAAAAAATCCAAAAATTGTCCTAAGGTTAGAAACTACTTCTTGCAGTACAGCTACGCTGTGTCACTACCTATGCCCAGGACTGATTCATTGCATTGAGGCAAAATGTAAACCGGTAAATACTCCGGAGACTGAGAACATGCTTTTGCTGAAGAAAACACCTACAAAGCTATTCTAGACTGGGTGCTGGCTATGCCTCCTTTATAACTCCCTGTGCAGTAAGTCTCCCCAGGCTGTACTTTAGCAAGTCCCTTAAGCCAGGTCTATTAAGTGGCAGTGTGGAGAGATCACACAACTTCTTTACAAGTTTTTCTAACAACCCTGCAAACTTACTCTCACCCACTGCAACATGAATTCCACACCATCCTCGCTGAATCTTTTACTTCTTCTACACTCTATGGCTCTCTGCCTCCTAGCTGAAACCTAGCAGCTAAAAAATCTTTTACTGCACTACCTGAAATTTTATCCTGTGTGTAAAGAAAATAAGTTGGAGAAAACTGATGTGGTCAACACGGAAATCAAGATGCTTCATAAATACCCCTTAACGAGCCTTGGGTTACCTATATCAGAACAAAGCTTCCCACTACTGTCAATAACTTCATATTGAGGTTTTGTTGTTGACCATTCATACTGAATGATACTCATTCATAACCTCTAGAAACTTAGGGCTTTTTGCTTTTACATGTGAAACTTCAGAACTATGCACATTATTCCATTTATATTCACACCTTCTTAATTGTCTTCCATTACCTTCTGCTCTGCCCATGATATTATCATGCTTTGCTTTTTGCTAGCTTTCATTAGTCTTTCCAATTACTCTCCCACTTACCCAAAACTTCTTGCCAAAAGCACCAGCTTCATTTTAGCTTAAATCAATCAAAGTTACAGCTGTCCTTCCTTCCACCCAAACTGTCCCCTTAACTCATCCTCTAGTTTCACTGCATCCCAAAAGGAGTTATTTCAGAACACGGAACTAACGATCTGCCACGGTCAGGTCCCTGAATGAAGTCACTAAGGAGTTAATTCCACACCAAAGAAAAGATAGAAATCAACACAAGCCGTGCTTAGTCAAAACAAAACAAAGGATTCAGAGTCCGAGTGAGTTGCATACAACTCCGAATCATTCTTCCACGGACTCTTCTGTCATCACTCAGAGAAAACATGTTGAGAAGAAATCAAAAGCAGCAGTGACACAAAAGGCTACATGCAAACTTACAAGATAAAGAAATGTTAAGAGACAAGGGTTACAAGAAATAAGGGCTGAGAAATGCCCAAACTAACATCACATACAGAAATTTACAAAACCGACATGGAAACACAAAGTTGGCAGATTAAAAAAAAAAAAAAAAAAAAGTTGGCAGAATCGAATTTGATACAGACTGTTATTGCAATAAAACTCACGAGAAATAAAAAGAGAAGGGTATGTAAACTGTGCCAGAAATGCACTTTTCATGTAAAAGACCTAGGCGGCTACGTGTAGCCTCGAGCTACCTACAGCCGAAGTAACGCTAAGGTTTAACAAAAACACAAAGCGTTCTTTTATAATGAGCTGTGCGTGAGAGAAGGCAGCCCATTAGACTTAAGTGCCATAACACGCCCGTGGACGGCTTAGGAGGAGGAGGATCCTCACCGCAGCACCCGGAGTGACCGGCGCGGAGCCCACGGCTACGGCATCTCCCGCCCTCCGCACCCGAGCCCCGCTCACGCTGGGCGCGAACCGGGAGCGGACACACAGCCACGAGTCCCCGGGACAGGGACAGTCCCCGGCACAGCCCTCCGGGGCCTCCCCTGCTCTCGCCGCCGCTGCCCCGGGCCGCCCGAGTGCCAGCGCCGGCTCCGTGCTCGTCCCCGTCCTGCCGGGGTCGGCCCGGCGGGACTCGGGAGCTCCCTGCAAGCCGCGGCCATGACCCAGCGCCGCCGCCGCCCTGCTCTACCTGCATGCCCGGCGCCCCGGGGTCCACGCCGGTGTCCAGCACGGCCAGCAGCACCCCCCGCCCGTCGAAGTCGGGGAAGCGGGCGAGGAAGGCGGCGGCGCCGGTCTCCTTCTTGGGCAGGAGCCCGTGGAACGGGAACGGCTCCTCGGCGGCGGCCGCCATGGCGCGAGACCGGGCTGCGGGTTCGGCGGGGACAGGCTGCGAGAGGCCACGGGACGGCGGCGCATGCGCGGTGCCGGCCCGCCGGCCCGCGGGGACGCGCACCCCCTGGCGGCCCGAGGCGCGAGCAGCACCGGAGCTAAACTGACCAATAGGGAGCCGAGGCGAGCGGGGCCTGCTGTGCAGGCAGCCAATCACGGGAGGGACGCGTTCCACGCGCCGGGGCTGTGGCGGCCACGTAGGGCGGCGGCGGGAGCCGAGGGCACCTTCCAGCGCCGCGCCCGCCCCGCCTCAGGGCTCCTTCCAGCGCCGCGCCCGCCCCGCGTCAGGGCTCCTTCCAGCGCCGCGCCCGCCCCGGGGCTCCTTCCACCGCCGCGCCCGCCCCGGGGCTCCTTCCAGCGCCGCGCCCCGCCCCGGGGCTCCTTCCACCGCCGCGCCCGCCCCGGGGCTCCTTCCAGCGCCGCGCCCCGCCCCGGGGCTCCTTCCACCGCCGCGCCCGCCCCGGGGCTCCTTCCAGCGCCGCGCCCGCCCCGGGGCTCCTTCCAGCGCCGCGCCCCCCCGGGGCTCCCGGCCCGCCCCGGGCTGCGGCCTCCGGCAGTGCGGGGCTGCCCGGCGTCCTCCTAAACGAAAACGGAATCACGGAATCGCTTAGGTTGGAAAAGACCGCTGAGATCATCAAGTTCAAACTATGACCGAAAGCCATGGCGCTGAGTGTCTACCAGACCATGGCACTGACTGCCAAGTCCAGCCTTTCCTTAAACACCTCCAGGGACCGTGACTCCGCCATCTCCCCGGGCAGCCCATTCCAATATCTAATCACGCTTTCTGTGACGAATTTCTTCCTGGGGTCTAAAGTGAACCTCCTCTGGCGCACGTCTTTAGGCCATTTCCTCTCCATTTCCTCTGAGGTTGTCACTGGCTGCCTGGGAGAAGAGGCCGACCCCCGCCTGGCTGCACCCTCCTGTCAGGTGGTTGTAGCGAGCACTAAGGTCTCCTTTGAGCCTCCTTTACTCAAATAACCGATGTGCAAACATTTACTTAATGATTTTTGTCTTTTTTTCTCTTTTTTTTTTTTTTCCTGCTGATTCATTGTTCAGGATAAATAGGTCCCGCGGGTGGCAATACCAGTGCAACTGTTTAGCAAAGAGCAGGAAAAACCCCCCAAAACCAAAAACCAACCAACCAAAAAACCCCAAACAAGCCCCCAACCAAACAAAACAAACAAACAAAAACAAAAGAAGGAAAGCCACAAAAACCCTAACAAAACAAACAAAAAAACCTCCAACAACAACAACAAACAAACCCAAAAGACTACCTAAAGGGGGAAAAAACCCCAGAACAACAAGGACTACCTAAAGGCTATTGGAAGCTCAAAATAAAAGTTTTGGTGATGTTGTTAATGGAAAATCTAAACTTTGAACAGAGGTCAGAGGTTTCAAAAGGTATTTTTCTAGCTTTCATGCTCACATACAAACTTGCAAAAGAACCTGAACTATGGAGTACTAGAAAACACACACAGAATGTCTTTTGGGATCATGTCTTGTTAGTGTCTGACACGTGCCCCTTCAGCCATTTTAGCTGGTAATAAACATAAACCTGGTTGATTTCTGGAGGATGACTTTGCTTTCTTCAGGAAAGTTTCTATTTAGAGTCACCTTGGCAGACAAATGTGTTAGTGAGTTCACTGTAAAGCAGTGGGGATTTTGACTTCTGAGAGTTCTTCTGTTTGTCTTTTTTTTTGTTTCACAGGTCTGACGAGATTATTATTGAATGTTTGTGAGACATTAATCTTCATTGAAATGGAGCAGGCATTTGTTCCTTCTCTTGAAGTAGTGGGAGAGGGTTGCTAGCAAATAGGTGTACTTGATTTTCCCCTGCATTTTGTCAGCTACTGTCAGCATTGTCTTCTAGCTCACTAATGCCTTTAGAGATCCATATGATTTTTATGCAAGTACTAAAATAAACCTGAAGAGCACTGCCTTAAAAATACACAGTATTAAAAAAGTGAAAGCTGTACGGTATGAATGTAGCATGTAACTCAATCTGCTTCCCACTTTGCTTTTCAATCATAAATCAAAATTTTACATTTTGATGTCAAGATACCATGTACTTAGTTTTCTTAGCATGCTGATGATGTCTGACTGCCATAACCAGACTTTTAAAAATATATATTATGTAAAACTTTGACTGATTTTACTATGGTGGAGAGAATTATTTTGACAAGGTGATTGTTCACTTGTTTTATACCTAATTCACTGTCCATTTGAGTTTGGTTTTCCTTCTGTTTATCATAGCTAGTGCATTTCAGTGGGAGAAGCTTGTATTTCTGGCAGCATGTTGACGTGAACAGAAGTCTCATATGCCCCATAGTTTGAGACATTAAACTACAACAAATTCTCAAAATATTTCACATCCCATTCAATGGAAAAGCTGTATGTTATAATTTAGAAACATTTGTTATAGCCCTGAGAATTTCTTCCCTGTTCACTTGCCTTGGTCTCAAAGTACCACAAACAACTCATATAATTAGCAGGTACATATTGTTCAGGTATGTATAATTTATGTGCACTGCCAAGTGGCAGGGCAGGTTCTGCAGGAAAACCCAGGATTTGGGGAAGGTGTGCTAATCAACCTTTAACTGACTTGAAAGTGATACCATGAAAAGAAAAACAATTTTGGTGACAATCTTCAAAAAGTAGCTATTTTGTTAATTGTATGATTATAACTATAGTGTTAGGACATGAGCTTAAGGATAAAGTTGTGCATCTTACTGAGACTTTGCAGATCCTGAGCATACTGAGATTTTTTTGAATTTTAAACTTAATCCTGCACTTCTCAGGCTTCTTATGTTTAGTGTTCTAGGTTATGGGTTGACTAACACTCCCAAGTCCTCCACTGAAACATGTCTTTAAGCACTACATCTGAATCTATTCAAATACTTCCAGTGATGGTGACTCAACCCCTTCTATCATGGGCAGCATGTTCCAGATGGGGAAAATCTTTTTAATCAGGACCTGTAGCAGCAATAGGGTGACTAAAAGAGAATAGATTCAGACTAGATGTAAGGAAAAGTTTGTTTTACAATGAGAGTAGGGAAACACTGTAACAGTTTGCCCACAAGAGGTGTGGATGCCCCATCCCTGGAAACATTGAAGGTTAGGTTGGATGGGGCTCTGAGCAAACTGATCTAGTTGAAGATGTCCCTGTTCGTTGCAGGGAGATTGGACTAGATGGCATTTCAAGGCCTCTTCCAACCCAAACCATTCTGTGGTTCTATGAACCTTTGACCAGTTAGCTGGATTTGCATGGACCTGTGATGCTCCAACAGATTCTGCTCTGAATACTCCCAATATGGATGTGCTCCTAGGTCTGCATCTGAGACCTGGCAAAGCTGTTCTGGTCTTGACAGCCATGAGTGATTCCTCATATTGCTCACGTGTCAGACATGCCAGGAGCTGGCCAGTGATCACCTTTGATTTCATGTGCAGCCTAATGCACAGTGGATGAGAAGGCTGAACGCACCTGCTGCATCTTCTGCCTGATGTTACACCCAGAAGTACCATTCTGGGCTTAAAATCCCTTTTCTGTCTGAGCATGCATCTTTCTGCAAATGAAATGCTCTAGCTGCTGCAAGGTTCTCTCTGAGTCAGGCAGTTCTGTTTTGCATGGAAACATCCCAAAGCGAACCCGAAACAACATGACCTAATATCTTTCTAGTACAGGCATTGACATGAACGTAGAAGTACTGGGCTGTTTGTTCTTTCTCTAATTAATGTTAAATTATTCTATTCAAAGTATCAATTGGAGTTGCGCACGAGCTGTTTAAATTTCAGTTGCAGCAATTACCTTAGTCACTATGTTTCACATTTCACCCACTCCTTCTTTCAAACCTGCCTGAGTTACAACATGTGGAGAGGAGGAATCATTCTACCAGTTAGGTGGTGAGAGGATGTGTTTGATGAAATTGTATTAGCCAAGCACTTCAGTGTTTTGAGTGAGGTCATTAATTACCAAGGGTCTCAGTAGATACTCTTCCTTATTCCCCCTTTATGAGGGAGGACTGGCTTCAGGGAATAATGGGAAGAGATGATCCTTGAATGAGGTGGATGTCAAGATATGATTTAATTCCTGCCATTGCCTCTGTCTCCCTTTCCCATTGGCTCTTGCTATTGTTGTGTAAGCATAAAACAACATAAATCCTCCAGAAGAAGCAGTTTCCAACTCCTTCCCAGCCTGAAGCATGGCCATTCACTCTTGTTCTTCTGCTCCGCAAGTTACTTGTGCTGTTGTGACCTCTTGATGGAACTGGTAAAGGAATAAATCTGTCTGAAAACTATCCCACATAAGTGGTTGGGAGCTGATACCTGAGACAGGCTCCTGTACCATGCTTATGCTGGTGCAGAGTAGGGATGATCCATCACAGTACTCCTCAGACAAACACATCATGGAACTAAGGCATTACATGAGGGAACTTTGCCACTGCACACTCTGTCAGGGAAACTGTGTTTAGTGGATTTGGGGTTTTGGGTTTTTTTTATCAGGTTCTGTACTGAGCCTTCTATAAAGTGCCTGCACAGCTACAAGCCTGTGTAAATTTTTTTGTGTGTATCTAATAAAGGCTTTCAAAGAAGGCCTCATCCCAGTTATTTTTCCCTTATTTACTACTGAACAGTTTAGCATGGACAAGAGTATCAAATCTGCAGATTGAACCTTTCAATGCTTTTTCTTCACAGAGCGAAAACATTTACTCATCTTTTAGTTTTGATATCTAACCTTCCTTAATGGACATTGTATCTTTAACTTTGTCTTCAGGAAGTTATTTACTTGGTTGGCTCAATTTGCCATGCCCTTCCCTTGATAAATATAAAAGATCATTGCATACATATAAAATTATGAGCTCATTAGTGAACCACAGCTGGTGTTAATCTCCAACATAATCATATTTCAAATAATATTTCAAATAAGAATGAATTCTTATTGTTCTCTGTCACAGACTTGCGGCCTAGCTAATGTCTTTAGGGTGTGCTTTCATTTAAAAACTTGTTTAAAATTGTCTGACATTATATCCATATGGACAGGATATAATAAGAGGATATAATAATAAGGATAAGTTCATATATTGCTTTAAACACTTTCTCAATAATGCTGCTCAAAGGAATTACTAGTCCTGAAAATTCAAGAAGGTAGGATTAATTTAGCACTGACCTCAGCAAAAAGCTGCACCTGCAGTTCAG